TAGGGAAGAAGAGGGAAGAAAGAGAAAAGGGTATCAGAGACAATTTGAACCGAATTAACTCAAGATTTAATTCCTTCTCAAGAGATCCTATACCAACTGAAAGAGCAGGAGGTATCAGAGCCAATATGAACAGAATTAACTCAAAATTTAATGTCCTTCTCAAGAGATCCTATATCAACTATTACAGTTAAACTTCGGGCAATTGCACTTAAAGAGACTGCATGAAAGTAGTAGAGAAGAGAAAGGGAGAGAATCAGAAGGATGGAGAAGGTAAAGGGAGAAACAAGAGAGTTGAAAAGAGAAGGGACGAATATATACAAGCAGAGTAGGCAAGAAGAGGGAAGAAAGAGCAGGAAGTATCAGAGCCAATATGAACAGAATTAACTCAAGATTTAATTCCTTGTCAAGAGATCCTATATCAACTATTACAGTTAAACTTCGGGCAAGTGCACTTAAAGAGACTACATGAAAAGAGTAGAGAAGAGAAAGGGAAAGAATCAGAAGGATGGAGAAGGTAAAGGAGAAAAAAAAAGTTGAAAAGAAGAGGGAAGAATAAATACAAGCAGAGTAGAGAAGAAGAGGGAAGAAAGAGCAGGAAGTATCAGAGCCAATATGAACAGAAGTAACTCAAGATTTAATTCCCTCAAAAGAGACCCTATATCAACTATTACAGTTAAACTTCGGGCAAGTGCACTTAAAGAGACTACATGGAAAGAGTAGAGAAGAGAAAGGGAAAGAATCAGAAGGATGGAGAAGGTAAAGGAGAAAAAAAGAGTTGAAAGGAAGAGGGAAGAATAAATACAAGCAGAGTAGATAAGAAGAGGGAAGAAAGAGCAGGAAGTATCAGAGCCAATATGAACATAATTAACTCAAGATTTAATTCCCTCAAAAGAGATCCTATATCAACTATTGCAGTTAAACTTCGGGCAAGTGCACTTAAAGAGACTACATGAAAAGAGTAGAGAAGAGAAAGGGAAAGAATCAGAAGGATGGAGAAGGTAAAGGAGAAAAAAAGAGTTGAAAAGAAGAGGGAAGAATAAATACAAGCAGAGTAGATAAGAAGAGGGAAGAAAGAGCAGGAAGTATCAGAGCCAATATGAACATAATTAACTCAAGATTTAATTCCCTCAAAAGAGACCCTATATCAACTATTACAGTTAAACTTCGGGCAAGTGCACTTAAAGAGACTACATGAAAAGAGTAGAGAAGAGAAGGGGAAAGAATCAGAAGGATGGAGAAGGTAAAGGAGATAGAAACGAGTTGAAAAGACGAGGGAAGAATAAATACAAGCAGAGTAGATAAGAAGAGGGAAGAAAGAGCAGGAAGTATCAGAGCCAATATGAACAGAATTAACTCAAGATTTAATTAATTCCCTCAAAAGATATTGTTCTAGGCTTCAAAGGTAGAGAATTAATTCTCGAGTTGGGCCGTGCACCATTGACCTGGAAACGCAAACAGATCATGAAGCATTGAAACACAATTTGATCTTAATTAAATCTTGCATTCATTCCCTTCCTGGAGCTCCATGTGAAACTGTGTCTTTCGCTGCTTTTGGTAAGGTCACAAGTGAAACGCTGCCTGGACCTGTCGGGGGACAATGCCTCCTTGCTGAAAGACTTGACTGAGGCCATTGTCTCCATTGATTTCGCCACCCACCAGACATAGAAACCTGATGAAACACCGGAGCGCTTTTTAATGCTTTTCAGCTACACATGCATTCTCCTGAAGTCGGTTCCTTCACAGAGTGGGGTTTTTGGCCAACGTGGCACACCCTGAAGTGTGATGGACTGATAGGCCTTGCGATGTGCTGGTGCCAAGCTCTGACCTCTCCAACGGTGCCCGGTTACGTGCCGGGCAGGTCGAAAGCTGAAGACAGTGCTGAAGACCGCTGTGCGGCAAAAAAAATCAATGGTGGACCCTCCTGCACGGCTTTGAGATGTTTGAGAGGCTGTGAGAATTTAGAATGAGGGAGGTGTATACCAGTTGCACCAAGATGTTGACAAACATAGGGGAGCAACGACAAGAGCTGGTGGAGTTTGAAATAGTCACTTCGAGCTTGGCCCTTGGAGTGTCAGTCTGATATATGCCCTTGTTGCCAGCCGGTTCAAGCACCATCATTGTGCCTTTTTGCTTCATTGACCACCCTGAAGCCTCACAGGAAACCCGGCATGTCATCATTTTTGTCATTTTTATCAAATGACAGAGCAGGAAAGACAACACCATTTGTTTCATTTTGTTCATGTTTTCTTTGTTTCGCCCACCTTCGTTTGAACTGGCCATGTGTTTGCCATGAACCGGTCCGTGAGCTGCCCGGCCAAAGGGAAGGACGCACCCCTCCTTTCAGTCCGCGAGAATCGTGACGCCGGAGGTGATAGTTTGTCGCCCATCAGCCCCCTGAGCACATTGTTAGCCTCCAGCAGTGCTGGAAGCCCTACCTGGGCCAGTCGCAAGTACCGGGCCTTACGCGAAGCCAGACGTCCGCCGTCTCGCTTCGAAGCTTCGCGGCTAGAGCCCTTGCCACTAGCGAAAGGCCGTTAAAACAGTCGGACAGACACAAGCAGAATTGAGGGATTGTAGTGGGATCATGTCATTTTCATGATCCGATATTTGCAATCTCATCTTTGCATTTGGATGTTTCATGTTCCAGTGCTGCAACAGTCAGCAGCTGAATTTCAGCCTGTGTGGTTGTTTCAAGCATTCTCCAATTTCCTCCATCCAAATTCGGGCCAGAAAATGATGAACAAATTGGAGAATTCGGGCCATCAATTGCCATTTGGACATATTTGGACCTTCCTGTGCCCTTGCCCTCGCCAGGCGCGGTGCGACACCACCGTCCAGCGAGTTCCTCCACGAAAGCCGAGCAGCGTGGCAGCTCAGCTCGGGCACCTGAGGTCGCCATCGACTTCGATGCAGCGGAAGCGTTGGGACGGAAAATCTTAGGGAAGGGCTCATGGGTCAAGAGGATCTTTGAAGAGTTTGATGGATCAGTGTCTTGGCATGTCTTGGCAAAGGGCTGGGAAGCTCTTCGGAAAAGGAGGGAACATGAGGGAACACTTATCAGAAGTTATCATGAGGTGTTGGACTTGTAGATTGCTCTATTGCAACCAGCAAAGCTGACACCGAGCTGGCTGCTCGCATCCAAATATCTCCCCAACGGCCAATCTTTTTGAGGCTTGCGGTTTCCTGTGGCCTGCAGAGTTTGCGGCCTTGAAAGCGCGCTTTGAACAGGCCATGGGTGGCTTTGGAAGCCGCGCCAACTTTAGCTTCGATGCTGCGGACAGCAACATGGAAGGGAGCCAACTGGACTGCAACTGGTTGGGTGGGTGGATGGTGGGATTTGGCTCGTGTTTCAGCGTTGGGTTACTTGAAAGGTCTCGGAAGAGGTGTGATGCAGGGAGATCTTGTGCATCGGATTGAGAAGAGGAAGGGAAGCATATCCTTGACACACCATACGATTTTGGTGGGCCGTTTTCTAGGCAAGGGGGAGGCTAGGGGGTTTGTCGCCAGGCTGCACTCAAAATTCTCAAAATATTGCATAATCATCGCAGCCTTGCATCTTGCATCCGTTTTAGGAATCAGCCAGTACGAGTGGGAGCAGTACTCGGCCATTCTCATCGCTGAACTGGGCGAAACTCGCTGCAGGGTGGCGGCCGAACGGGTCTTAGGAAGCAGGAAAGCCGAGCACCGCCGCAAGGTGAAACACGTTGCTCGCCAGGAGTAAGGTGTTGCCAACATATTGACAGGATGTGCCATATACGATATATATACGTCCATTTACAATCATTTACATATTTTACATACATCCAGGAACCGATAGATTTCTTCCATTTTCTTCCTGTCTCTTCCTGTAGAAATCAGCGTAGCTTGGAAACCACTTGGCACTTGGAACTCTGCGCTTCAGCAAGCTGCAGGTTTTCGTGTCTGAGGGCTTTGACGCACAAGCATCAGTGCGTTTGCTGGAAGTATGTTCCAAAGCCAACAAGAACAATAGACTTTCGGCAGAATGGTTACACACTGTCAGGGCTTTGTTGCCCTTTGAAATTTGTCATATTTTTAGATTTAAGATACCAATTATCATAAATCTCACATTTCGCGTGCTTGTATGCCCCTGACAAAAGGAAATCATGCTACCTTGGAGATGGTTGACCTAACATCGTTTTCTTGTATGTGCAATGGCACTGCAGCATATGGCAGCACTGATGTCATTTGCTGCGGACACAGGCCATGGTGCCATGTTACGATCTCATGGGTAGGGTTGTGATTGATTTTGGGGCAGACAAGTTGTGCTCATATATATATATATACAGTTATATACGCATACATTTAGATGTCTATAGATAGATATAGATAGATTGATGGATAGATAGATTGATGGATAGATAGATTGACAATTCCATGTCAGATATCTGGAGAAAGACTTCTCCAGGCCTTGTGGAGGACATCCGTGTCGCATTAGCCACGAAAGCAGATCCAAATGCTGGCCTAGTGACTCGGCACTCGGTTGTCGCATGTTGGCGATTGTTGCCGCCATCCTTTCTTCATTTGGGGATGGGTCAAAAATGGTCATATTTGGGCAATAAACATCCATAAACTAACTATTTTGGGTCTGACTCATGGTCATTTGTTCCCTGTTGCAATTTGCAACTTGGGTCATATCATGTTTTATCTGAGTCACCTTGATTTCATCACCTCCCAGCCCAAATCCACAGGCTAGCCCGGCCTTCAACGACTACACTCCACTGATCTTCTTGGCAAGTACTCCGCCTTCGGCCAACGGTCATCAGGTCGCCCAAGCCATGGAGTTGTTGATCACCTCACGCGCCGACGTGCATCGCGAATGTGGGCAAATGTTCAGTGGTCGTCTAGTGCCCTTGAGATTCGCCGCCAGGGCGCAAAATGAGTATGGCTTGGCAGCTGGGGCACTGTTAAACTGCGCGATTTGATGTGGGGATGGGTCAATATTTTCGGTACCATTTTTGTTCACAAGGGGTACAGGGTTTTGACCCATCCCCATGATCTTTCCTTGAAGATGTATTGCGCTCTTTCTCTTTGCTTGTTTTGTTGAATGTTTCTTTCAAATCAGGGCTGTTTGATAATCTTATTTTCTTTCCAGTCTTTCCAGACATGTCACTGACAAGTCGAAACATCACAGCGCCCCAGGAAACGTTGCAGAGACACATGGACCTCGGCGACGCCTTCCAATGGGCCGCCGGTGAAAATGCCGAGGGCATCATGCTTTCGGAGCTGCGACGGGAGTACGGCCAGGCCTTGGCTGAGAAGATCGAGGCCATGGCATCCTTTAGCCTTTCGGCTGTGTGGCGGGGGTTGGTTCGGGGTCAATATTAATATGACATAGTTCGTGAATGTTGGTGACATATATCCCATATATATATATATATCCCATATTATCCCATAAAGTATTTTATAAATCATAAATTATCATAAGTATATCCATTCTGTCCCATTAAATCCTCATTAGTGATGGTCTTTGACGGTCTTTATCTCTCTGAAAGTGGGGTATACCGGGAATACCCCCAAATGGATGATCTCTGACCATAATCCACTGAATTGGGGGACGCATGGGGACGCTATTCTCAGTGATGTTTGATGATGATGATGATGATGATGATTGGTGTCAGTCGACTTAATGCTTGTTTATGTCCTTTCGACTATATGCGCGACTCATAAGAATAGGCAAAGGTACAATATACAGGTAGACTAAGTATATGATATAGATTAATGATTATTGTTGTGTATAATCTCTCTCTCTCTCTAGGACAGAGCATGGGCCCAGGAAAAATGTTTGCCGAACTGACCGGATCTAGAGAGTAGGCTTCTTCAAAATGCCTTGCTGAGCGGAAACTTATGGAGTGGTTAATCCTCGCCCCACCTTTTACAATTGAAAGTCGGAGGGTTTCCCTTTTTTTGGTGCGTTTTTTGTCCGGCCGAGGCTACGTTGCAAGCACTCAGTTGAGATTGTTCGCCTCGCCCATCTTCCCTGGTGGCTTAAGCCCGGCATGTGCCCTCTCCATGTGCAGAGGCTCCTACTACGATGGCCACGTTCAACGGGGCCAGCGAGCAGATCCCAACTCTCCGGGCCTAGAAGGGATGACTTCGTTGATGCACATGATCAATCAAGGAAGCGCCAAACATCTCCAAACCCAGTGACATCATGTGACATCCAGTTACATCATGTTGCATAATCCAGTTGAACCACACACACAAGAACTATCCCCAAATCACCCCAGTCGACTAACATGATCAATCATGATCATGAGCAGTGGGGCAGTTATCCAAGGGACTGAACAGATGGCAAACTGGATTTTGGCACCTCCGTGTGAATACCAGGCTTCTTGCTGTTCGTTCTGTAGCGAAAATTCCATGAGCAGCTCCCCATGTCCTGTTCTTAGGAAATGTACCGTAATATGTTGCAATATCCTGTACTGTAATTTCTTCTCAAGCGCCGGAACTTCCAGAAAACACCCATAAGATCATCATCTCAGGGCTTCGCAGCCTAGCCCTTGTGATCCCGCAGCCCCCATGGGGTGCCAGGAAATGTGCCAGTGATCGAGGCATTGCTGGATTGCCGCGCAACCCTGGACCAGCGTGACAGCAGTGGCGCAACACCCTTGCACTTTGCGGCCATGAATGCCAAGGTTGATGTCGTCAAGCTCTTGTTAGATAGAGGTGGGCTCACTTGGGTTTCAGTTGGAAAAGCACTGCTCAAGATAGGATCCACACTGAAAGCATGACCAAATGATGACACATGCATAGAACCGCTTTGAGCCGGCACACCTGGCAGTGACCATCAGTGACCATCAATGACCCAAGTTTTGCCAAGGTGCTGAACCCAGTGATGTAAACCATGCCGGCTTCAGCCCTTGGATGGTGGTGGGTGAGTTGCTTCCCATGCCAGATTCCTCACACAGCGACCCACGGGCAGATGACATCCGGGAGTGTTTGGAGTTGTTGAAGCCAAAGATGCTCCCGGAAGAGTTGCTCCAAGCCGAAACCCCGGAGGATGGGTGGGGCCACGTGAGGTGCCCCCAGGGATGATTTTGAGATGCCCCGCCCCACCTGAGATCATTTGACTTCTTATGAAATAGGACAAATATGGAGGACCCCTTAGACTTGTGCTGCAGGATTTGCTATCTATGGTGGGCGGAGAGAACTTTAGCATCGAGGATCTTCAGAAGGTTTTCCGCCTGCACGAAAGCTTGTTCTTCAATCCGCGCATGGCTATCCATGGGTCCTTTGAGGGGCGAACTACTTTGAACAGCTTGCTGGAGCGTTGGGCCAATATTCTCATCCAAATGTTGCAGATCGATCCACTCAAAGGAGACATGAAAACCTTGGCCAAATACCTCTTGCACGCCACCAAAGGCTGGTCACTGGACATCAACATGCAAACAGATAGCCAACATCATGGCGTGCCTCCAGTGCTTGGTAGTGTACTATTCAATACTTAAAAAAAACAGTAATGCAGCTGCTTGCATGCCTCTTTCAAGGGTTCGAACGTCGTCATTTCTGTTGCGCCCAGGCGTTCCTTTCAATGTTCCCTTCCTACCCATCGTTGTCCCTGCAGGCCCAGAAAGTGGTGCCTCCTTTGCAGGGATTCGAAAGATGTGGCAGCAAGATGACAATCGCTCCTCCTATCGACCGCGACTGATGGAGGTCAGGGGCCGGTTTTTGGGGTGTGAAACAGATCGCTGACACTCCCCAAATTTTGCCATCCCTGTTCCATCCCTTTTCCATTCACGCGTGGCACATCCATGGCACATCCCTGGGACTTGTGGCACATATACTAGATCATGTCATTATATAAATAAATGAATGCATGAGTCAATAATTCACTAAATAAATAAATATAAATAAATAAATAAAGATAAATAAATAAATAAATAAATCTATCTATCTATATATACATATATATATATTGTGGTAGGTAGACCGTCATGTACGCCCCGGCTCCCTAGGCCGTGAAGAAACAGCTGAATTTGTTCGCCGACGACTGCAACTCGCTGCGGAAGGGGGTGGATCGGGCCGCTGCCGAGGCCATCAGGGCTGCCAAGGCCGAGGCCGCCGAGGCCGCCGAGGCCAACCGCGCGGAGGCTGAGGCCGAGGCCGGTGAGGCGAGTGAGGCGACTGAGGCGACTGAGGCGCAGGAAGCCAAGGAAGCCGGTGAGGCCAAGGAAGCCAAGGAAGTGGTGGAGGCAGTGGAGGCACCATATCGAGGCTTGGGGGAGGTGATGTATATGGTGGATGAATCAGAGGCCAGGGCAGCCCAGGTGGCCTGTCAGAAGCTCTTAGACATGCCCAAAGATATCGTGACGATCCCGGAGAAATGGCAGGCAGATCCATTTTGGAGAAAAGTTCAAGAGCGACAAGTCTTGCGGTATGATCCGGCCTGGTCGTTGGAAATTTGCAATGGCATCAGTTGTTTCTTCCAAATGCTTCGACTGGGGGTGCCGCAAGATCCTCATGCTAAGCTAGTGGGTGACCAAGCTTGTGTGGTGTACCTTGGTTGCCACCCATCCTCCCCCAACACCCACAATTTTGCACGCGGGAACCTGGAAGGGGAATCTGCATTCGAATGCCGCCGACGTGCCCAGGTCATCCATAGCACACTACAGTCAGCTGCGGCAAGTGCTTCATGCTCAAATGAAAGAGCTGTATGCAAGGGGCTATGTGACCTACTCCAACCTCTGCAATAAAGCATTTCAGGACCTACTTCCATGCTGTTTTCTGCCTGAAATGCATGCAGACATGCTAATGTGTCAATGTAACTGATCATGCAGACAGTTCCGAGAAGTGGTATCCCAGGCTATCCCAGGCTATCCAAGGCTTATTGTTTCAGCAGTTCTGAACTGTGAGGACAAGATGAAGCAGATCGTCGCGCGAGCTCGGGACGACTCGAACTTGTCCGTCGGGATGCCTGAAGAGCCTGTTGCAGCAAAACGTGGCGGACTGAGTGGCAGTGGACAGCCGTAAGCAACATCAATCATGTCACATCACAAGTGCCAAGGGGTAGCGGGGTTGTGACGCAAATTATGAATGCAACCGCTCCCTAAAGCCCTCCCAGACCGCTTTTCGCGAGCCAGGGTTGAAACATTTTGTTTCATTGTTCACCGCATTCTCAGGTTTACAACGAATCTTGGAGAAGACGATTGAAGCTGAAGACGAGCGTGCTGGATGGGACTGGCCAGACCGATCAGAAAACTACCTGCGTCACACCTACTGCTTCTACATTTTAGATACTGTACGTATGAGCTTTGGGTGCAAAGGTGGGCTCCTTGCAAACGGCTCGTGAGAATCATGATTACTTGTGCAGAGCAATCGGCGGATGCACGTACAGAAGAAGAGAGAGAGAGAGAGAGATAGAGAGATAGAGGGAGAGAGAGAGAGAGAGAGAGAGAGAGAGAAAGAGAGATAGAGGGAGAGAGAGAGAGAGAGATGCAAACATGCATATCAAAGTCGGTGGTGGTCGTGATCCGAGATCGGCTTCGAGGGGTTGATCCTCATCAATGATGCGGATGATGCCGATGACGATGACGATGACGATGACGGTGATGATGAGGATGATGAGGATGATGATGATGATGGTGGTGATGATGATGATGACGATGATGACGATGATGACGATGACGATGATGATGACGATGACGAGGATGACGAGGATGACGATGAAGATGACCATGATGATGACGACAATGATGATGATGATGATGATGATGATGATGACGATGATGATGAAGATGATGATGATGACGACGATGATGATGATGACGACGACGACGACGTCGTCGTCGTGGTTGTTGTGGTTGTGGTTGTGGTTGTGGTTGTGGTTGTGGTTGTGGTTGATCATGTTGTTGATCATGTTGTTGATCATGTTGTTGATCATGTTGTTGATCATGTTGTTGATCATGTTGTTGTTCATGTTGTTGTTGTTGTTGTTGTTGTTGTTGATCATGTTGTTGATCATGTTGTTGTTGTTGTTGATGATGATGATGATGTTGTTGATGATGATGACGACGACGACGACAATGGTGATGATGATGATGATGATGATGATGAGGAGGAGGAGGAGGAGGAGGATGAGGAATGACGACGACGACGACGACGTCGATGATGATGATGACGACGACCACGACCACGACCACGACGATGACGATGACCCACTGCATGGAATTTGAACAAGGCAGATTCAGAGACCCTGCATCTCTCTCTCAGAGGTCCCTAACCTTGGCATGACAGATCCACTCATTAAAGCCATTGGGTTGTTTCCGGAGCTTGCAGGTGAAACGGTGCCAGAACAGGTTCATTGCTGCATGCGAGTGCTGCACGAATTCCAGCAGTGTTCCGTTGAAACTGATGGCGTGCAGCTCTTGCGCACTAAGTTCCTAGGCGACCATACAGTCGCACTGCTGGGCTGGGCAGGACTGGGAATGCGGAATAAGTGGGGTGTTTGGGCGTGTTTGGGCATCCCAGCAACAATTTGAGGTCTGGCTTTGCTGCTGGAGTGGCCGGAGATGGCGGGTATGCAGATGTGAAGCTCCTTCTTTATGCCGATTTGGGAAAACACGTGGCCTTTGATGGAACGGCTCCTTGGCTCATGGTAACCCGGACAATGTTATCCCTGCAAAGGAGGTTGTGAGACTCGAAATGGCACATAATAACACGATATAACACGCGTTTTGGCAAATGTTCAGCCCCTACCAGCACGCGTTGGAGCTGAGGAGATTCCTTTGCGAATCATTGGCGAGGTACAGTTGATTTTAGAGGGCTATGAAGCTGTGAAGAAGCGAATGCATTTGGTCTATGAAGTGAACCGTGGCAGTTTCGATCGAAAGCGTAGACGTTGACCACCTCGCCCCATGGCGGGGATAGCGGATGATAGCGGATGGCTTGGGTCCCGTGGGCAGAGGCTTACCCCCGAAACTGGGGTTCAATGCCATGATATGCCATGCATTTGAACGTCCTTGAGGCCAGCAACTGAACATGCGAGCTTTAAGCGGCTTTGATGAGTTTGCTGGATTGCACATGATTCACGCTATTTTTTGCATATACTGTATAGCTAAATTTGCACCCTTTCATGGCTATCAAATGTTGGCAATTCAATGATTTCACGGAGTTATCGGTCTCTTACACGTCCAGATGCACTCCCAAAAGCAGATACCTGGAGGATCCTCAAAGAGGATAGTTCGCAGGTTTCTGTGAGGTTTCCAAATGGACAACAATGTCAGGTCCAAAAAGTTGCCTGCCACTGGGGTTTCTTGACGGCTTGCAGCATGCTTTTAGATCTTTTAGATGATTGGAAGCCTCCTCATCTTGATTCAATCACAGTTTTACCCCCAAACTTGTCCCACCAAATATGGCAATGCGGACATCTTTGTCTGAAAATAGGGTGCACCAAGAATCTCAGGTTCATCATCATTTTCCCGTAAGAGAAAGGCCATAAGTCCTTCAGATTGGGGCAAATCATCCATTTCTGTGGCCATGGCCACATGGATCACTGACGGAGCAGGGCTCAGGGCTCAGAGCGTCCCACAGAGCCATGGAGGTGACGGTGAGTGCCCAGCTGCAGGAGCCATGCTTTGCCTTCGCCCTGAATTTGGAGGCGCTGGTGCTGTTGGATGACAGATTTGGATATATTTGGATTATTTTGGATTTATCTGAAGGATCTGAAGGGATTTTTTGAAGAGACTTTGAATGCCATCCAACTATGTATATAGCTAATCACGCTAATCGTCATGTAGCTATTCACTGCTTTTCATATTTCATTGCTGTTGAGTGGTGGCACGGGCAGGACAGCGGAAGCTTGGACACCGGCAAGACCGTTCGAATTAGTGAGGAGCTCGATGAGCATGTGGAGCCGTATCCCAGCAACGAGAGCGATGGGCGAAACGAGGTGAGGAGTTGGGAAAATGAGAGCAGAAAGAAATCGAATGAAAGTATTGAGAAGATAATGCAAAGAACTCATTTTTTGTTGTCAACATCCGATGCATGTTCGATTCCAACCTCTTTGTTGTCAAACTTTGCATGGATTTGAGCCGGTGAGGGTTGCATAACGCTTGGAACTTGGGTCGGCCGCGACCAGCTTCCCCGGCAGGTGTTCTCCCGCCCCTTGAGCTACCGCAGCGATTATCGCAGCGAACAGAGTTCTGCATCCTCCCAGTCCCCCATGGTGAAAATCAGATCCTTTCAGCCAATGCAAAAGCCGGCAGCCAGAAATCCAACCCTTCTGGGTGGCCGACCCAACCTGATCAATGTTAATAAGAAGCCAGGCCAAAAGCAAGCCTCGAGCTCAACCCAATCTGCTCCCATGTTGCCGGTGTTGCAGTCACCGTTGAATACATCATTCTACACCAAATCTTCTTCGCATCGAGGTAGTGATTCCATGCAAACTGCTTCATCCTTTGGTTCTAGTAGGGTTGGAAGTCGCCCGCCTTTGGGCGGGGCTTGGAGGGAACAAGAACGAGGTGGTGAGTTGAGGTCAAACATTGATGAAGGGAAGGAGTTTATCCAGGGATGCATTCCCAACTGGAGCTCGGAGAACAACATCCGCTCCAGTGCGGCTGTTGAGCACAAGCTGACCTGGGCATATTATCACATGCGTGGAATGCGGACCTCCTTGGGGCAAACTGAGCAGACGACCAGCAGCAAGAAAAATGGTCAGTTCAATTTCTGGAGAGATCTTCGGCCGCCCTTCCGAGTGAAGCGGATCCAGAGAGAAGTGGATGATGGCCATGCTGATGGGCCGCTCTTCAACATCACCTACTGCTGCCCTTTGGACTATGTCACTGAACGGAAGTGGGGCCATCGCACAGCTGAGGGCAGCTTTGAGAACCTGGTGCATGGTGTAGCTGAGGTCCGAATCCCCAAGGAGCCCTTTGCCCACACAGACAACACACAGATGACATTCTGCGAAAAGCCATACTTGGCTATCGGATAATATCGGACATGCATGTTTGTCATTATTGAATGATATTGAACATAATGAATCAACATGGACCAGTATGATTATATCTATTCGACACCTATGAGTTATGTTCGCACAAGTGAGTCTATGTCATAAAGAATCTAATCATTTGCATGAAAATTGGATATCAAAATTATCAAAGATTGGTTAATGTTGTTTGGGGTAAGCTCAGCCAGATGTCCTCGGCTTTCTCGTGGTTGCGGTAGGACTTCCCCCAGATCTCCAAGCACGTCATTGTGCTGAGCTGGGGCAAACCAGAGATCAAGTTTGGCTCCAAGCCCAAACTGCTGCTCGGAAACAGGGGGAACGACTAACATCGGCTAACCATATGATTTGTGGAAAAGTTGCTGTTTCTGCTATTCTTTCATGTGTGGGTCGAACTACACGGTAGGTATTCTTATCCTTTGCGATGTATTGGCTTGTAATTTCAAGCTGATTGTGTTGATTTACTTTGATATTTTTTTGACACACACACACATATATATAATATATACACATGATTATATAGTTATTAGGGAATGTCAGGGCGCAGCTTTCAAGATTTGCTTTCGGCTTCATATGGGTTCTCGGATGCCATCTAAGGGATGACAAGGAAGCCCAGGCGGTGACCGTTGATCCCAAGAAGTGGAGTCCAATCGCTGCGGAATTCCACATGAGGCGGGTTTTTCGATGGTTTTTTGAAATGAATTCTGCAGACTCACAGATTTCTTGTGGATGATGATTCTGGCATCTATCCTGCTGGTTGACATGCGCACATGAACAATGGCCCAACAAGATTCTGTATCTTCCCTTATTTTGGGCATAGCCTCGGGCTTGAGCTGCAAGGTCGAACTGCACTCGCCTGGCCAAAATCCGCGAGTCCCTCCATGAGACAAACCTAAAAATGGCTGTACAGGGCAATCAGATGAAGCAAATGAGGCAAGGAATCAGCAGTGCGCTGCGCTGCAACAGCTGCATCCATGATGCGCGCAGTCTGTACGATTGTTTCACCTCCCTCCAATAATTGAAGCTTTGCGGGGGCTCATGATTTAGCATATTCTTAGCATGCTTTTGCTATCTGCTATCAAATGTCACATTGCGGTGTCCAAATATCATGAATCATAACAACATACATATGACATATGACAAATGACATATGACATATGAACACATATGACGTATCATGCCGTTTCAGGATACAGGAGATGAACCGTTGCTGTGGCAGTGGGCCACCCACCAGGCCATGGCAGAAGGCCCTGCTGAAGCCTTCGGCGACTCTGTCGGACTTCGTCAAGGACGCCACGGATCATGGGACTTTGGCGCTGTAAACGGAAGGTTTCCGAAGATTTCCAAAACGGCTGAGCCCCTTGAAGATTTGAAATCATTTGAAGTGTGTTCCTCAAGCAGCCGCGCAATACACCATGATGTGTAGGGATTGCAAGACATATTTGTAGGTATGTACGCAGGAAAGAGGTGCAGAAGCATAAATCAAATGTGCCAGGTTTACGTTTGTGGCATCTCATTTCTTCAACCGATTGGTTGACACATTGCGGACATTTTCATCGTTGAACTGTTGTCCTTCAAATTTTGACTAAGCATAGGCAGGCCAATGGTTGTTGGCTATGTCCAATATGATATGTCCCCAACTTGGTTTCTTCTGGTGATGTACGACGTATTTTTGGGGAGCTTTCTGCCTGCACATCCCATGGCTGTACCACTGCCAGCTGCTTTGCACAGGCAGAGAAAGAGATGCAAGAGGCCAAAGATGCAGAGGGCATCGAGTCACCTAAAAGAGAATTGAGGACGGAAGCTCACTTCTAGGAGTCAAAACATTACCAGAGTTCTTTGAGCATTTTGACAGGTGGTGAGAAGCCTATTCCCTAGCTGGTGGTTTCAAACGACGACCCCTTGCAACTAAAACTATTCGGATGGGTTGAAACCACCAAGCCAAGCAGTCCTGGTTCCGGTAGAGTATAGGTAGGACTCACCTGAAAGTCTACGCTGGTTGAGTATCCAAAGGTGCAAGGAGCATCAACTTGATAATTAAGTGGGATGCCGGCTCTGAAGGTCCACTGCTGTCATGATCTGTGATGTCATATTTGTTTGCACCAGTGAGCTTTCCAGGATGCGAACAGTCACCGAGCAGCACTTGGAATTGCCACAATTTCATTCAATTTCGATTCTTTCGATCAATTCCCCTTTGCTGTCAGCGGTCATAGAGTCTATAGCTGTGTGGTCAGGCCTGTGTTGGCTTTGTCGACATCCATGGCTGAGCCTGCTGTATCGCATGAGTCGGCGAACCGCAAATGCGGTGCAACTCCACGTGACTCACGTGACTCACGTGACGTGACTCACAACGTGTCGCTACATGACCCTGCAAGTTCCACCAAAATGGTGGGCTTGCGACATGCGTCCTTCAGCCACGCCCGGGTTGGAGTGTGGCAAATGTCTCACCCGCGGCCGCAAGGCTGGAAAATAGCACACTTCATGCGCTTGGCCAAGGGTGACAGAGGTATGCCTGGGCAAGAGCACAGTCAGAAAACCCTTGGCTGAAACATGCTGAAACAACACTCATGGCAGAAGGCATCCGCCTTAGTATCCTTACTTGTAGTGCAGCTGTTCAGGAAATGCAAGAAAAAATGGCAAGACAAATGTGACAAGTATAGATGAGAGATGGTGATGGAGAGAGAGAAATCCACATCGGAAGAATTGGCAAATGTTTAACTTGAGCCTAAATTCCAGGAACCGGGGGAACGACTCATAGTGCAATAGTGCAAGAACTCAAGTGTTATCCAAGTGTTACCCAAGAATTGATTTCTGCCATGCCCTCTCCTTTGTGGCGCTTTGGCATGGTGGCCCTGGTTTCAGCGATTCAGAACGAGTCCAACGAATCGGACCCCAACTCTGACTTCTACGAAACCAACTGGACCCTTCCCATGCTATCACCATGTGGTGCACAGCGGCCACCTGAAACCTATGAGCCTGCACGGGCTCATGATCCAGGTCCTGCTTCCTTAGGCGGGCCAAGTGACTAACAAAATTCGCGGGAACCTTTCTATCCAAAGCTGGAAACGTCCCAAGTTCCCAAGAGATTCCAAAAGCATCTTAACTCCCTCATACCGAGACTCCTCAAACTTCCATCCTTGGTCATAATTATAATTACCAGTAGTACCGCACAAGGCGGTGGCGGAAGTTTCAAACATAGGAAACCTATAGACTATAGGAGAGGCTGGTTGTTGTGAATCACGCATGGCAGAGCGAATCCACTGATGGACCGAAAGGTGGTTGGAGCTGTGTTTTTTGGCGTGGTTGCAATGGTTGCAGTGGTCACCTGGTCGGTCACCTCACCCACAACTGCTGGATGTAGTGTGGTGTAGTGCAGCTGTAGTTGTAGTGTAGTGGAGTTGTAGTGGTGTAGTGTAATTAGCGTAGTGTAGTTGCAGTTGCATTTGTGGTGGTGTAATGAGTGTAGTGTAATGTAATGTAGGGTAGGGTAGGGGTAGGGTAGGGGTAGGGTAGGGGTAGGGTAGGGGTAGGGTAATGTAATTGAGTGTAGTGTGGTGTGGTGTAGTGTAGTGTGGTGTAGTGTGGTGTAGAGTAGTGTAGTGTAATGCAATTGGTGTATATAGTGTAGTTGTAGTGTAGTGTTATGTAACGTATTGTAGTTGTAGTTGTAGGTGCAGTTGCAGTCGCGGTTGTAGTTAGTGTAGTGCAGTGTCGCGTGGTGTGGTGCGGTATAGTGTATTGTAATTGAATGTGGTGTACTGTAGTGTAGTGGACTGTAGTGTAGTGAGGCGTAGTGTAGTGTAGTGGAGTGTGGTGTAGTGTAGTGCAATGTAATTAGGGTAGTGTAGTGTAGTCTTATGTAGTGTAGTGGTAGTTGCAGTTGCAGTTGCAGTTGTAGTTGTAGTTGTAGGTGTAGTGTAGTGTCATTCAGTGTAGTGTAGTGTAGTGTAATGTAGTGCAGTGTAGTGAAATGTAGTGTAGGTGTAGTCGTAGTCGTAGTTGTAGTGTAGTGGAGTGTAATGTAGTGTAGTGGTGGTTGTAGTTGAAATGCTACAAAACCTTCACGTTTTGCTCAGTTTTGGCAACGTGCAGAATCCTGTGCCCCTGCCATGCAAAACGACATCTGAACGTCAAAAGGTGCTCCGAACCCGTCAGTTTTTTTACACTTTTGACTTCGACGTGTGCTTCGCGCCACAACGGCGTGCACTTTTTTCGACATCTCAACTTCAAAAAGTGCTCCGAACCTGGTGTGTTTTCTACATTTTGACTTGGAAACGCGCTTCGCGCTACAACGGCGTGCACTTTTTCGACATCGCAACTGCCAAAAGTGGTCCGGACCTGGTGTGTTTTGTGCATTTTGACTTAGAAACGTGCTTCGCACCACACTGGAGTGCAATTTTTCATCTCTCACCCACCGCTTTAGCGAGCTTACTTTTCGACCCTCCGGAGCCACAAATCATTGGAAAAAATGCAGTGTTTCGCGACTTTCCTACCTTTCGCGCACCTGCATCTTGGGCTTCTTTTGACTTTCCCTCTCCTCTCCTCTCCTCTCCTCTCCTCTCCTCTCCTCTTCTCTTCTCTTCTCTTCTCTTCTCTGGCTCTTCTCTTTTCTGGCTCTTCCCATCTCTGCTTTTCATCTGTACACATTGTCGGAAGTTTGACTTCTAAATCTCCTTCGATAATTATAGTCGGTTCGACGAGCAATCGAGCAAGCACCCACCCACCCACCCACCCACCCACACACACACACACACTCTCTCTCTCTCTCACACACGCTCATTTTAGTTCATTTATGCCGTGTGTGTGTGTCAACACACAACAGAAAAAATTAAGCACCTCATCGAAACATGTAAACATAACATCTTATCAATTTTATCATATCTTAGCACACAAACATGTATAAACAATGTAGATGTGCACCATTGTACACCTCTAAATGACCCACATGTGTTGTGCACCGGCCAGGTCACCGGTCCGCCGCCCAGGGCGAGTGGCTCAGCGGCCGCAGCCCCGAGCGTCGGCGCTTCGAGCAGCTGGGCGCCGCGGGGCCGCCGACGCCGCAGAGTCGGCAGCTGGCCGCGTCGCTGTCGCAACACCTGGGTTGTGGCATCTGCCAACAGTTACTGAATAGTCACTCGATTTATAGAGATACTTGTAGATAGACATAGAGTGGTGATTCTCAATGAGTTTTGAGATTTAGAGATAGTTAAAGGACTAGTTGGATGAGCCATAACGGCTAGTGATGGGGACAACTCTTGCATCTTGTTTCTGAACGCACCAAGAAATCCAAGAACCGCGAAGTCCCTCAACCAGCGCATATTACAGAGCCTCATGAACAGCATGACACGTTTAGGGTTCTGTGGCATTTTTTTGGTGCTTGGGTTTCTCCCCGCTACTGTTACACAACTGCTAGCTGCTAGAGTTTCATTGTTTGGAAAATGATTTTGATTTTTGTGTTGAGACTTGAGGTCTTTGGGAAGATTTGCGCCGGCCCACAGCCACAAATCTGCGGTCCAAGATCTCTGAAGGCTGTCCGCGTTTGGTGAAGGAACATCTCCTGCGTCAGGGCTGGACTGCTTTCAGCGGTGCTCCCTGTGATGGAGGGGGCAAGATAGCAGCAGATGGTGCGGCTTGGTGTTTCATTCAGGATACCATGTCGGAAGTGATTCGTCGGCCCGAAATGGCTGAACATTATGACCCTGCAGCTGATTCGCTGATGCGTGCCTGTGAAGACACGATTGCTTTCCATATGGAGAGGGTCATCATCTATTTAACTAATTTTCACAATGGAGCCCCTGCAAAAATGAGGAATGAAGCACTCATGAGAAGTGTTTGCGTGGAGGCGGCGTGCTGCGAGTAAAACTCCAGTGCTTTTGACGCTCTCGATAATGTCGCGCAGCGGTGGCGCGTGAGGTAACACAGTCGCACACGCTGCTGGTGCCTTGGGGTGCTTGATCCCAGCATTTCACGCTGTGGCACCTGCATCTTGCAAGGTCTCTGCGGCGTTCTTTGTTAACCCATGTTGGAGGTCGCAGCCATGGTTTCACCAGCAGCCGGAAAAAATCAATGTGCCTTAGTTGTGCTTGTTCCATCTTCAGATTGACACCTTTCATAGCAGCTTGACTAGATTAATTATATTCGAATTATTGGATTTATGTTTGAGGTGCGGGCACATCCTGGGAGTTTCAAACAAATAAAAGATAGGAAACACATTGTGGACAAAAAGCTATGTTTTCTCTATTGTTTTCTATTTCATCATTCTTTTTTACTGTTCTCTATTTGGACTCAATCCTATTTTTTACCTATCTTGCTCCTAAATTTATTATTTGGTTGCAAGTGTCTGGACGACAAACATATGACTAGATAAACACACTATAAACAAAGCGTAGGAACGTTCATCTCACTTCTATACTCCCGCCTGCCGTTGGTGATGGCTCAGAATACTTTTCCAAACAAGGCGAGCATTCAGGTACGAATTCATCAGGCACATCCCCACCGCAGTGGAGCAAATGCGAACCCATAAAATCCAAGCCTAGCGGACACTGCGAGAAGAAGATGGGACTTTAGGATGTTTCAGGCCTAGGATATCCTTGAAATGTTTGGAATGCGGAAAGACATGTCCATTCAACATGCAGCCACAAGCTTCCAGCATGGCCTTGGCTGGCAAGGAGACCAACACCAATTGGGAGGAGGATCGTAGAGCTTGTCTGCAGTGTTTGGCCGCCTTTTACCGCGACCCCACACAGTTCGGGTTCTCATCCAGCACAGAACTCATCGTTCCGTATGGCTTTAACTTGCAGACTGGAGAGATCGAGCCTAATGCCCTGAAATGCTTCCGCGACCCCGCAAAGGCCAAGGAGAAGTCACAGGCACAGCAGTCGCAGTCGACGTTTGGGCCTAGACCAGGGCCTGGACCTGGAGTTGCCTCGGGAGTTGCATCAGGGTATCTTAGCCAAAGCTCTGTGCCTCCCAACCCCTTTGCACCACAAAGCGGGCAAAGCTCTGCGCTGCGCAGCTCTTCCTTTGGGAAGCCTCAGGCAGCCCAGGGAAACCCATTTAAGGCCCGAAGCACTCCCTTTGGGCAGGTGAATGGGCGAACTTCGCAGTCCTTTGCTCCCTTCGGACCTGCATCACCTGCAATAAGTTCTCCCTTCCAGCGCTAGCTCCGATAGCGCATCGTGCACCAACTTCACTGAGTGAAATTGAAATTAGGATGGCCAGGCTGAAGCCAGATCGCGCATCCTCTTGATTCATGCACATGCGGTGGAAAAGTTGCATGTTGTTGGGATCATTGTCAGTCCAGATTTGTTATGATTTGTTCCAGGCAATTGCGGCAGGTAACACCGCAGAGGTATACCAAGGTAAAGGCAGTCCCACAGCTTTGTCCTTGTGTGGCCTGCAGCTATCAAGCATGCTTTGAAATTAGATGTGGGACCTCCAAAGCCAACATAGCACCTCCTGGCAAGGTTAGGAAGCGGCGAGATTTCAAGCTGTTCTGTTTTTCCCAGGTGCCATGTTGGTTTTGGATGGTTTTGGTGGGATGTTACAGCCATTTACAGCCCCATGGCTGCCGACTCGCTGTTGAATCTGGCTGGTGTGCCTCCAAAGGATGTGACATGGGAAGATGCCAAGGCTACGCCACTGCGGTACGGTGCAGATGATCCACCAGTGTGGGGAGTCGCGCTGTGTTTAGTTTCTGTGGGACGCCCGTATGGTCATGATGACTTTTTGATTTCCGATTCTTTGAAGGTGAGGTGTCTAGGAGGTTTATGATGTTTATGCAACCCTCAGAGATCCCTGCCAGACATTTGCCGGTGCCAGGCCCTGACCGTTCGCTTGGGCGAGCTGGGTCGGTTGAAGCGGCCTGATTTGGTCCAGCAGCTGCTGATTGGGATGGCCGCTGAAGGGATGGAGATCAACATCTTCCACTGCAGCTCTGCTGCTTCCGCCTATGAAAAGAACAGCCATTGGCCTCGCGCCTTGCTGTTGCTGTCAGGGATGTCTAGGATGCAACTCGAGGCCAATGAATACACACAAAGTGTCTTGCATACGGCGTCTGCACAGGCAAGCCTTTGGCAACTAGCACTGGAGAGCACCAGCACGGTGTCAAACGTGGGAGATAGTTGCCCCTCTGTGGTAGCTGCATGTTGTTCTGGCGTTGGAAGCTGGGAATTTGTGTTCCTCACGCTCTCGGAGTTGAGTCATTTCAGCATCAGAGTCTCAACTTCTGTGCCCCTGTTGCTTTGCAGTGCTGCCATTTCAACCTTGGGCACCAGGCATGACACATGGAACTCATCTTCTGAGCAGAACCTAGGCACAACCCCGTGGGTCGCTTCGTTGCTGCTGCTGCAACATTTGCAGGACCTGCGCAGCAGCCCTGACATTGTCGCTGTAGGTGCTGCCAGTAGCGTCTGCGAGAAGGGGGAGCAGTGGCGCTGGGCACAAGAAATCTTGGGATGGAGCGTGCGCTGGCAGAAGCTTCGTCCCAACTTGATCACTTCCAACAGTTTGATCAGCGCCTGTCAAAAGTCGTCCCTGTGGCCAGTTGCTCTCCACCATCTCCATGAAGCTGCCGCAGCTTCCATTGCACCTGACACGCTGAGTTTCAATGCAGCCATCAGCGCATGTCGAAGGACTTGGAGATTGGCGCTGCAGTATCTGAAGCTGATGAAGATCTGCGGGACTCAATGGAGCAACATTAGTTACAACTCGGGAATCTCGAGTGAACTGCAATGGCTGCGATCGCTTGGAATGATGGAATCCATGAGGGCTACACAAGTTCAGACATCCAGAGTCACCTACAACGCGATTCTCGATGCCATGGAGAAGGGTTCCATGTGGCAATCTGGAGCTGCGATGTTTGCAACTCTGGGGACGATCCAACCTGACGTAGTCACCTACGCTTCCAGCATCAACAGCTATGTGCAAGTGGACGCATGGGCAGCGGTTCTGGAGTTGCTGACCTCCATGGGATCTTCCCACTGCACTGCGAACACCGTGACGACGACCTCCGCCATTTGTGCCTGCACGGAGCGCTCGGAGCGCTCGGAGCACCGCTGGCCGCTGGCGACCTCGCTGTTCCGGCGGCTGCTGGCGGGGAATCTGAGACCAAATGAGTTGAGCAGCAGCAGTTTGTTGGCCACGATGGAAGTTTGGTGGCAGTCATTGGGGTCCCTCACCTGGATGCACCAACTTGGCATCAATGGCCTACCCTTCAATGCGGCTGCTGCCGGCTGTGCTTTGCAATACCAGTGGCCAAGATGTCTTCACCTTGCATCGATGGAAAATTTGCTAGATGTGGTCAGCTCAAATGCTCTAGCGGCAGTGTGCCATAGGATTCACCATCCACACTTGGCAGCTACTCTGATGGGGCCTCTCCAGATGGCTGCCCTGAAAACGTTGAGCAGGCACAAAAAGAGGCAAAGTATGAATTCACGATAATAGTGACGTTGCAGAGTCTGGGCCACACGCAATTTCTGGTGCTGCATTCTTGTCATTCTTAAACCATGGATGGAACGCCAACAAAGATCTCCCGCACGACAAGCTCTTCCATTAATAGTGCAGATATCTCTTAGACTGTAGAGCCCTATTGTTGGCGCTTCTTTGGATCAAGCTGTTTGGCGCAAAGGAATCCGTGTTTTTGGGACCCATTGCCAAACGGCAGGGACCTATGGATGGATTCCCACTTGCCGAATACCGGCAAGACCTGCATGTTTGCTCCCTCCGCTAGCGTTGGTGACCCTTGACAGCATTTGACCTGGATTTCTCGTGGTCTTTAGGGCGCCTCTGGTGCTGTTTCGAGCCTAAAGCGGAGCCTTTCTTCAATTTTCTTGACCTTGCGAAGGGGACCAGGTGGTGTGATGATCTTTCATTATTGAGTAGCATTTAGGCTTTTGATTTGAATTGGTTTGATTCATCAATATCATCCAACACCCTGGGGTACCCTTCCTTCACTGTTCAGGAACCATCGCGGCTGGATCTTCCAGACCCTGTGAGCTCTTTGCATCTCAACTGAAAGCTGGAGCCCGCTATGATCATGCCCCAGAATGAGTTGAAGAAGAGTATAGTATCAGTATAAGAATCCTTGTTGGAAAAGGGCGAGTCCTGAGAACACTTGCACCTCGAGGTGCAGCCGCCCGTCCACCACGTCTGGTCCTTCTCGTTTCCTGTCACCTATTGAAGCTGTGGGCGATGAAGGCAGCTATGAGGCCCCAGATCTACGGATTTTGGTTTTCAAAATGGACATGGATACAGATGGGTGTGGCTGAAAATTGTATATCTGTGTATATCTATATTTACCATACAATTACGCAAACACAGAGAGCGGGAGAGAGAGAGAGATATATATATATATGATTTATGTATATTATATATTTAATATAATATATACATATATATACACAGAAATAATCAAATTAAATTCACCCATTTCAATAGGGAAACTGATCTCAAACAACAATGTTATGGGGAGCTTATTTTCAGACATTTTCAGACAAACTCAGATGAGTCAGATGAGTGTCATGAAACATGATTACAGATTTCTGGATACACAACTTGATGAGATACAAAATTCGTGTGGTCAGTGGTCAGTTTTTTTTTGAGTTCTGTGTGTTATTGTGCGATGTTTTCTGATCCTCGCAGGATGCGACTCATCCTTCAGTCCTCGCTGGGAGGGAGCAGAACTTGAGGCCAGATATTTGGCACTGGGTGAAGTTTCTGAAGCGAATGCAGTGCTGGGTGTCCTTCGTCATCTTGCAGGTGTGGATTGGTGGCGGCTGACCTCAACAAGAGGGGAGTTGTCCGCAGCCCAGAGATCGGTTCAGTGGATTTGGCGGGTGAAAGCCGCTTTCCATCGCCCAGGCAGAGTGCTTTGAAGAATATGGACTGAGGCCACGGTTCATCCCGTTGACCACCACCTTGATAGACATTTGTTGCACACTTTTGACACCAGACACTGCTTCTTATCTGATCAGGGACTATTTTGACCAGTATGGGCAGAGGAGATTCTGCAACTTGTCGATGAGTGTGGCAGCTCGCAGGCCGGACACGAACGCGTGCTGTCTTGATATTTTCTGATCCAAAATTCTTTTTATGGGTGTCACAATTGTCAATGGATGATTTGCTTTTGGATGACTGGATGACATTTGGTCCACCAGGGGTTGGTAACTGTCCCATTTTGGGAATATTGGACATCACCTTGTAGTAGCCATTATAGACCATATACCTAATGGTTGGGTGATGTTCAATGGGGACATTTAATGACCCATGTTCCACATCCCCATTGTTGGTGAAGGGCCTTCAGGGGGTCACCTTGACAGCAGCTCGGCATGGCTCGGCTCCAGGCATCCGCAGGTGTCAAGGGCCTTCGGTTCGACTTCGCAGCATCTGAATGACGTGAAGACCCAACATCTCTTTTCGGCCATCGCCTACCGCACCTGGCCGCGATTACATCTGGTTGGTGGTTTCAAACATTTTTTATTTTTCCATAATGTATGGGACAATCCTTCCCATTGGCTAATATTTGTAAAGATTGTTAAAACCACCAACCAGACATGTTGTCATCGCTTGGGGATCCTTGGGGGTCTTCCAGATGAGCTTCAGGTAAAGCGAGTGCGATGATTGAGCAGGACAGGCAGGCGCACTCCTGGCAGCACTTGTTGCATCGTTCGTATCACTGGCTTTGGGAGCTATGGGGGACTGAGAGTGGAACTGCCTCACTCCTGGTTTGATTAAATGAATGATGGGTCTCAGTGTGTTTGGGTATGTCATATTCAATCAAAATCAAATATAATCAATAATGATGAGCAATAACAATAATGATAATGATAATAATAAATAACAAATATACCACCCATTTGTAAGTTATAATTTGTTTATAGCACCATTAACTATTGTGTACTATAGTTTTATTTGCCACACATCCTAGTTATTAGCGTCACACACACCAACTTGGCTATCTAGGGGTGCTCACCTTGTACCTATGGTGAAAGATGTGTGCTTTTCGACGATGGAACCTTCAGCATTTTATAATTCCGGTTTTGCGGCCATATACAGTATGATGTATACAAAAAAAACGCACACAATATATATATATATATACAGTATATATATATATACACATATATATATATATATATATAGATACATGTATGTAACATAATTCTTTTACATAATACCGCACACCAAGTTTTGACTCACAGCCTTATCAGTTGTTGAATGTTCCTTGCAGATGCCACATCTACGTCCTGAGTAAGGCATAGACAGCAGCGGGAGGTGCAGTTCAGAGGTTTGACGCATGCGGAGCGATTCCGCACCGCAGATGTCCGTCGCCGGCAGCTCCAGCTGATCCTGAGTGGCTTTCCGAATTTGCAGGAGATTGACAGAATGTCGTCGCATACATCTGGATGAGTAATGAATATGTAATATCTGTATATATATATAATATATATATATATAAAAATAATGTGCATACATTGACATCATCGACGCACACACACACACACACGCACATTTATGACTGACCCCAATTTACATAAGTGCCAAGAATTGTGGGACATTTTGGTTACAAAGGTTATGGTGCCAATCTGCATTTGGATTGGGATTTGTGTTGCTTGTATGTGCTCGTTACATATTGGGGCATTCCCTCTATATGCAGGATGCCGAAGTACCGTTCTTACCTGCAGGCACGACTGAAGAGGCCAGACATTTGGGATGGCCCTGTGTTGCTGGTAGGCTTCCAGCGCCGCAGCGCAGGTGTTTCAACCAGTGGAAGCGACGTCGCGGCAACAAGAAAGAGATGATAGAAAGTCCAAAACCCAGAGCCAAATCAGTGATGATAACTGGAAAAAAAACATGATGACAAGTGATCTTGGTGAGATATTTGATAAAGTTTCATAATATCACATATATCACCTATATCAAGAGCTGAAGGGTAGCAGCTAGCTGCTGGCACTTTGTATATTTTTCTTTCGACCAGGACTGTTAACAACTGACGCAAAGTGGCATTTCAATGCATTTCACAGTGAAATATATCCACCATTTCCAGCACTCAAAGGAATTCTGTGTCGGATCGCTGAGGCGTTGTGAACGTCAAAATGTGCTGCTTGGCCACAGCAGAATAGCCACATCCCAGCGGTCCCAGGCGGTCCCAGGGACGGTCACCATGGCAGTCACCAAGTCACCAAGGTACTTGGCGGAACGAAATCCTCAGAGCCTAGGGCCTTGTTCGAATGCGATCACGGAGAACATCATGACATATCATGACATATCATGACATAATGTTCATCTCAGATTGCCACAGAATTCCCTGATTTCCTGCGATTTCTGCAATGATCAGGGAATGATAGTGCAATGTTTGAAGGTACTAACTAACGTTCTATTGGGTTGTGGATTGTGAAGACACTTCAGCCTACTTCTGAAGATTCAGGGAAAGAAGCGAACGCCAATGCAAAACATAGTCACAAGAATCACAAACAACTTTTTTGGTTTTGCTTGTGTTGTTTTTTCCAACAGATGAACAAGGATCATTGGATGTTGTATCATTTTTGAGAGTCAGGCTGCAAGCCACGTCACAACAAAGGGAAACCGTCTTGCTGTGACTGTAGAATCTACTGTAGAGAATGTTGTTTTCTTGGAGATGACAAAGCAGAGTGTGAGGCTTACTCCCAGGAATTGCAACGTCATATTGGTAGCAATAGAATGTCACTAGAGTCCTACATTGAAGTGTCAATTTCTAGTCTTGCCGATGTTCTGCCAATGGAATTGTGGTTGACAACCATCGGCTGTCATTACCACAATACTTCCATATATATACTTTCTACATCGCGATATTCAGCCGGAACACATTTTGATCAGCCCCCCTTTACAACCTGTACGCAAGCTGGGGGTCGAAGCCAAAGCGTTGCAACACATTTTGGGTGTTGTCCAAGGACGGTTTTTCTGGTGAAGCGTCAGGGCTGGATCTTCAGCTACGATGATGTCCTGAGCATTTGGGAGACTTGGGATTTGCCACGTTTTGCCACGTTGCTCTTTTGAGCCCTTTCCCCCGTGGCAAAATGTTCAATCTTTGCAGCACTTGAAACCTTTGAAACCAACGTTTGCAGCTTCACCAACGGCAGACTATCTCAGGAAAAATTGGATGATTGGATGGGTGCCATCTCACTTACTCCGCTCTGGGGGTTGGACAGGCCAATTATTCAATGGTGAAAATGCCACGGCCAGTGGCAACATCAGCTTGGGCCTGGGCACACATGCTGGTTCATAAACCATTCCAATTTTTTGGGATCTATAGGAAATATATATATATAGTACATATTAAGAATTTCTTCGTGGAAGTCCCTTGTACGTGAAGGGAGTTGATGTTCTGCTTTCAGATGGGCTAAGTTGACAGGTCGACGTTCTCACAGTTCCTGGTGGACCTGAGTTTGATCGACAAGGACAGGCGTCGTGGAGCTACCCATGGCACACCTGAAAAAAATGTTCATAACGGATTCACACGCACACATGTAATGACATGCACACACACACATATATATATATAAGTCAGGTATTAATTCATAGATTCATTCATTCCTTCATTCGTTCAACCAAGCAAGCAATCAATAAATCAATCACTCAATTGTGCATTCAGATTCTGGTCAGTGGTCATTCCCGTAGCCGCAGCAGGATCACCTGCCCCACGTCTGGGCGCACCAAGTCTTTGATGCCTATGCCAAGCCAACGCGCCTGGCTGCTGGGGATCCAGACTATGATGAGCCTCCGGACCGGGAGAGCACCAGTGAAGACAAAGAATCTTGAGATTTTGTTGATATTTGTTGGAAACATTTGAAAACAAGATAAAACAAGATAAAACAAGTGCCTGGAATCAGTTGGAAGGGAACATGGGCTGACTTTGTGTTTTGAGCTTCTAAGGTATACAGTAACAAGTATGCATGCCTGAAACATGACAAAGGTTGCTGCAAAGAGTACTGTGCTACATATCCGTGTCAGCTTTGCATCCGGACCTGTCAGGATGGACGTGAAAGGGCAGCCCTTTGCGTCTCACGCTGGGACTTCATGCATGTCCTGGATAGGCTTGGCTGGGGATTGATGAGCTCCTGTCAGCACATATCCACATGCCCAGCACACCTGTTTTCAAGGGCACATTGCTAAGAAAGCCTGGAACCATTTGGAACATTTTGGAACCCATGACAGTTCCAAATTGTCCGCTAGAACTAGCTCTAGTATGGCGGAACTGCGGTGGAAGCGCGTTTCTGTTCAAAATGCCGTCAGTATCACATATGATCAAAATATATCAACACAATACGGCAGTATATAGGCATTTTGCAGGAAAAGATGTATGCAAGTACATACACAGTGCCACACTGCCAGTGAGCATTTTAAAGGGATTTTCGGTGAACTGCGATTGGTATCCTAGCCTCCAACCACAGTCAATGAAAGGTCCGATAAAGTTCTCATAGCCATTGAATTCATTGAATGCATTGAATCCATTCTTCCTAAAGGAGCCCAAAGGATCCCAATGTTTGAAACACCTCGAGTGCTTCCCCGATGCCACACGCACGAGGCTGCTGCGAACACGCTTCGACCTGAGTCCGCGAGAGGAATTCCTCAGCCGCTTGCGAGCGGCCTACAACCATTTGTGCCGGGACACTTGGCGCATTAGCCAAGGCTACAAAAGTGACAAAATGTATCAAAATGTGGTGAATTTTTGTTTGGACTAGAGTTTAGTCATCAAAGTTACAGTGCGTTGATTGAACACCTCAACTAGTCCCATTTGTTGCTGGTGCGATAGCGAGCACAACATACGTCCTTTTGTGTACTTTTGGAACCAGCTAAGGACTGGAAAGCTCGAGAGGATTCTTGGGGTTTTTCATTGCTCAGAAAAGCAGATAAGTTCTGTAATAGTTGCACATGGTGCAGTTTTCCTCCAATCATGTTGTTGGCCAAAAAATAGAATACTCCAAACTCCCATGGACATCATTTTCCCATATTTCCCATGTGTTCATTATTTTCCCATACGTTCTTTTTCAAATTTTCAGGGCCGTTAAGGGCCCCCCAAAAAAACTGGGTCCAAAATCCCCCTGAAAACACCTTCCCAGGAGGATAGCAAGATTGCCGCTCAAGCTTCCGAACACAAGTGGCAAGCCTGGAAGCAACTCCTGGGCAACGTGCAGGTGATGCAGCAGACCGTCGCGCAGCGCTTTGGTGGCTCCAAAAGTGCCAGAGGCTGGGGAAAAATTCAGCAGCTTAGGTCAGGTTAGTCAGCCTGAAGGTCGAAAAAGCCATGGCAGTTTGCAATCTTTGATCATACTTTGATCATCGGGTTGATTCTTTTGTGCGAAAAATAGGGTACTGTAAACAGTTGAATAGTAGTTACAGCTAACCCATGATGCAAAGTGCAAACCCATTTGCAGAGCAAATTCTTTAGTTCCGAGTGTTTGTACATGGGATGTCCGGGACAGCCACCACATTGTCTGCTGCTGCTGTAGGATATTGTAGGATCTTGCCAATCGTCTCCTGGCAGGAGCGAAGTTCAAATCCACTGTGAAGCCCATCAAGGACTAACAGTGGCAGTCTATTTTGCTCATATCTTCCCACCCTGCTGTATGATCACCCTATTCCAAAAGTTTCGACCTCCAAGAGCGACCCTTGCGACGTCTGGACGGTGATAGGACGATGGCCGGATCAAAGAAAGCCACCGCTGGAAGTTCGACCGCCATGTCTGCTGCAGCTTGGAGATTTTGGGCTTTGGGCTACTGTTGGCTTTTAGATTTTGAGGCATTTTGAGGCTGTTTGTCTGTAGTGTAAATCATTTTTTTCTAGAATCTTCTACGTAGACAGATGGGTAGATGGACAGACAGACGGACAGACAGATAGATGGATTGGATTGGAATGGTTTGGATCAGATTTGATTGGATTCGATTAGATTTGACTAGAGATTAGATTAGATCATTACTTATCAATAGAATATTTCAGATCAGTAATAGGTTAGATTAGATTTAGGTTCGACTTGATTAGAAAGACAGACAGGCAGGCAGGCAGGCAGATAGATAATATACTAATTTATAGATTAGATTAGATTAGATGAGATGAGAGGAGAGGAGAGGAGACGAGACAGACAGACAGACCGGCAGACAGACAGAATAGATATATCCAATCAATTGAGAGATTGATTGGATATATCTACATCTATTCGGGAAAAACATTGGACCTTTTTCGGTTGTCTACCAAACCAGGCATTCCAAAAATGGAAAGCGTTACACCTCCAAGAAATTTACTTGTCTCAAATGTTCTTGCTTTGCCGGAAGTTCTGAAATCCCTGCGTCTATTTGTTCCGCGGCCCAAAAAGGTCGCCTCCCTAGTCTAGCCAAGTGAAAGGCACTATGGAAAAAATGCCGTGAAACTGCAGCCAAGGAAATCTCTGTGGATTTTTGCCAACAGGACAACCATTCCAACAAACGAAAACTTGGGTCTGATTCTGGTAATTCTTTCCCAAACAAACGTATGGCTCCTTCTTTCAGTAAAAAAGCTGACGGCAGTGCTGCCACGGGTCGGGGCCTCCGTGCTGTGCGGGTTGGAGAAGCTAAGCACCCGGGCCCGTCAGGCGACCATGGCGGCAAACTCAGATGTGTGGCTTGGAACATCAACTCTTTCCGAAATCATTTCGCGGCTATGTGTCAGGAAGCTGAGGCAGTCAATGCTAATGTGATCTTTCTCCAGGAAACGGGGATCACTAGAGGCCAAATGGTTTCTGCCATGCACTTGGCCCGAAGGCACGGTTGGCAGCTCAGTGGAACGCCAGCAGGGGCCGTTGCAGATGGCGGTCGTGGGGGCACCGCAATCCTGGTCAAAGAGCCTTTAGCCTTAGCGGATATCCATTCCACCACTGAAACTTGGGGACAACTTCAGGTTGCCGAGATCCTTGGACACAAAGTCCCCATTACTGTTATTAACGGGTATAGACGGCCCCAGCAGGCGCTTGATGCCCCCAATGAAGCGCTTATGGAATGTTTTTGTCGGAATCAGCACAAGCATTGGGTTTTTGCATGCGATTGGAACTTGGACCCTGCCAGTGATCCTTTAGCATCTGTGATGACTTCCTTTTCTGGTCAGCTGGGTAACTCGTCCGGTCACAAACGCAGTACTCATCCCACGGACTCTGTTTGGTTCTCTCAGTCTCTCAGTTGTGAGAAGCAATCGCCCATGGATGCTCTCTCCGACCATTTTGGCTCCTTTGTTGAGTTAGGCCAGATTCCCTGCTCAGATCCGTCCCCTCCTGCATGGATTTTCAAAGCGGTGGCACGCCTCCAGGACAATTGTGACCTCCCCTCCGCGGATGAGGCTGCTCAGGCATGGCACCATGTCAGCACACCGTCTGAGGTGTGGGAAGCGTTGGTTCAACAGGATATAAATGATGCATGGTCTACCTGGTCTTCTGATGCGGAAGTTTTTCTGAAAAGAATCGGTGCAGTCAGCCATGAAAGCAGTGCTGCGCAAAGAGGGTCCCTGCCCACTCTGGTTAGCGGCCCCTCCCGACATGGCCCTGGTCAAAGCATCACGGAGAGGCGCCTCAGGCGTGTGATCCGCAGATTGGACGAAGCTCAAGGGCACGTTCACAATGGCACCTCGGTCCCTACCAACTTGCAGAGAACCTGCCAGAGAAATTGCAACCAATTTGGATGCGGAGCTGATGCGCAAGCCCACAGGTGGGGGGCATGCCTCAAGCAGCTTACGGAGCAACTCAAATTTTTCCTCAAGCAGTCCAATCTGCATGCACTGCATGGCTGGCGGCAGAAGGTGCAAACTTATGACGGAGCCTGTGCTTGGCTCCGAAAGCAAGCCCCGCCCTCTTGGGCCCTCACCAACGGTGACAAGAACACGTCTGGTAGAAGTCAAGGGGCTGCGTTTTTATTTGAGTCTTGGAAGAATATTTTCTGCGGGCCCGAAGGCTACGAGCCCAAGGCTGAACCTTTTATCCAAGCCTATGCAGCTTGGATCCCGAACAATCCGGAGCTGGCTACTCCTGCGCTCACTGCCCAGGGTCTTAAGGATACCGTCCGTCAGATGAGACGGAAGGCTGCCGGCCCGGACCAATGGTCTGCTGAAGCTTTACTGCTGCTTCCCGACATGGCTTGGGAGCGATTGACAAAGCTGCTTTTGCAAGTCGAACAGGTAGGAGAGTGGCCTACCCCGCTGGTGCAGTGGCGGCTGACATTTCTACCTAAGGTTTCTGCTGACAAAACTGGTGTTACCCATGTGGCCAAGGTGAGGCCGATTGCCATTGGATCCCTCATCTACAGGGCCTGGTCCAAGCACAGGTTCGCCCAGATCAGTCCTGGCCTGGTTGGTTTGCTGCATCAGAGACAAGTTGGGGGGTTGCCAGGCATTGGCGCCGAAATGATGCTGGCCGCTCTTCAGAACCAAACTGATGCCACTACTCACCCTTACGGCATGAGTTTGGATTACAAGAAAGCTTTTGATTCGGTCGACTATGTGATCTGTCTTCGTCTCTTCGAAGCACTCGGCATCCCGGGTCCCATTCTCAAGGCGCTCGGGGCGGCTTGGGATCAGCAGACAAGGTGGGTCACATTCGGCCAATGTGTCCACCCCCAACCTATAGTCCAGTGCCCAGCTTTGCTTCAAGGTGATCCTTTTGCTCCTCTTGGCATGGCCGTCATCTTGGCACCTGTGCTTCGCCAACTGCAAGCTCTTCACCCAGACATCTTCACGGTCACGTACATTGACGACAGGACTTGTTTGTGCCCGACTGTTGCTGATCTTGATCTGGTCAACAACGTCTGGTCTACCATGGAGTCCTTTTTGCGGCTCCGCACGAATGAGGAGAAGAGTCAAATCTGGGCTCGCTCTCCTGAGGCTTTGGCAAAGCTGGATAACACCCACTATAGCTCCAATGCCAGCTTCACCATGCAGGTCCTTGGGGCTACGCTTGGTCCAGAGGAACGTGCTCTCTCAGACCGTGAAAGGGACACGTTGCTTGATGTCGCTCGTCGTTCCAGGCGCATTGCTTGTTTGCCTGTGAGTGCTCGCCTCAAAGGTCGCTTGGCAGCCACCGTGTTGGGGCCCAAAGCAGTGTGGGGCCATGTGATAAACGGTCGCTGCCCGACCCAGAAGGATATTGCCTGCTTCTTCCGCCACTACAAGGCGGCGACAAGTGACAACCGGTTTGTCAAAGGGCGCTCGTCCATGGACCTCAAGTGGGCTTTCTTCTTTGGTCACACTTGCGACCTGGCCTTCTATGGGGCCCTCCGCACCATCAGTTCGGGTTTTGCCTGGGCACGTCACTGTGCCAGCTTGGGCGAGAACTGTCGCTGGAGCCAGTCTACGGTGTTTTGCCTCAATAGCATCCTGCAAGACTTGGGTTGGTGTGCTCATAGCAATGCTGTCGGCCAGAGCGGGGATGTCCCTTGCATTCATTTTGGGGCAGTGAAGGCTGAAGTTGACAAATGCCTCCATCACATTCGAGACGCTTGGCGTTTGAAAAAAGTGCGTCAGTGGTTGTCGCACCGCGCCAGGATTGATAGTGGGATAGGTCGCGATACCAATCTTATCATTTCCGAGCCTCTGATTAAAACTGTCAGATCTATTCTCAGAGATTGTGATGCTCATGTTGTCTCTGTTGCCTGTGGAGGTTTCCAAACTGTCTCACTTGATTTTGAGAGACTGCATCAAGGGGTCGCTCCTGTTCAGCAGTGTCCGTATTGTTTGCAGCTTGATGTTCCTGGCGTCATTCATGTCTTGTGGAGCTGTCAGGCTTTTTCGCATTTGAGGTTGCTTCCGCAGCCTGAGTGCCCTCTCGCCTCCAGGATTGGTTGGAGCAGCTCCCATCAAGTCACTAAGGATCTCTTGGTGCAGATGGGCACAATCCGGGCAGCTGAAGCTGCTCGTCGTTTGGCACCTGCGGGTGCTGGCTGAGGCTGAAGCGTGGCTTCCTTGGGCTGCTATGCACTGTGTTCTGCTGCTTGCGGCGGGGCATGGGCAGCATGCGGCGCGCGACTACACAAACATTGGACCTTTTGGACGCGGATAGCCTGGCCGCATCCCCAGAATCCCCTAGTGGCAGCTGAGGCATGCTGAAGGAACCTGAGGATTCTTGGCTGCAGAGATCTGCGTCAAGATGAAAGAAAGATATCGGCATTCCTATGATTCCTATGCATTCCCCGTAAGCAGTCGAGCAGTTTGAGCCTTTTGGGATCCCATTTGGGCACGCGATTTTGCTGAACCCAGGTCATGCAGATTGTGGAGCAGTTCCGGGAAGTCTTTTCTACAATCTTTGACTGTTATGCCAGTCAACGCGAGAAGCGGCATATGGCAGAGATGGATTTGGTGTCCCTATGCTATGACCTTTGCTTGGTTCCGGACTTGGCACCACGACATGAAGTTCATCGAGTGTACATGATGGCCGAGTGCTTGGATAAGCACCCCACTCCATCACTGGCCTCATCGTTGACATCAGATTTGTCCAATGTCTCAATGCTCTCCGTTCCTTCCGGAGGTTCGCCAGTGCGCTACCAAAATTTACCAAAATCAGACATTCCTGACAAGTACTGAACATTGAATCTGCCAGAGCTAAGCCATACATCTCACCCCACCTGGCAGGTTCCTCGAAGGATGGGCTGAAGAAGAGTTCCAAGCCCAAGTTGAAGACGTCCATGGCCGAGGTCAGCGAAGCTGCTGATAGCTGTACTTGCCGCTGTACTTGCCCGCATTTGGTGTCTTCAATGTATAACACATGACCTGTCAAAATAATGTGCATGTCAAGCAGCCATGACGCCAGCCTCAGGTGGTGAAATCCAAAAGGAAACTGATCCATGGAATGACCAGGTCGGAGAAGCCGCTTGGATGCCAGTGCGGGACCTTTCTTCGCTAAGAATTGTGGTGGTTTTGGTTATGGAATGGTCCTTGAGGCCATCTGAGTTTTGGATTGTTTTTGCAGGGCATTCACCTTGGATGCGATTGCTATCTCATGGTGCACTCGGCTGATCCCGGCTGATCCACATCACAAGAGGATTCTCTTTGATCCGATTTCTTTCGCGTGGAATCTTTTTGATCTTTTTGATCTTTTTGATCTTTTTGCCTTTTTGTTTGAGTTAGAGGCTCTTCCAAGACACCCAAGTCTGATGCAGTTCACTGCCTCCATCCGGAAATGGTCTCCACCCAAGGTCCATTTCTTCGTCAGATTCTTTCAAGTTTGAAGGCGCAGGGCATGACACACACACACACACACCTATGTATCACACACACACATATATATATATATATGTAATGGTTTGATCAGTTTTTTCAAAAATATACGACACATGACGAGTCATTTGTGGGTTGATCGCGCCAATTCCCCAAAGGCTTGACCCATACTCTCAGCAGGTGCAGACTTCGGTGTCGGAGCGCTGGCGGAATGTCTTTGCCGCATCGTCTTTGGCCACTTGTTGGTCTACGGCAACAGCTGCCTGGTTTGAAAGTCTTGTAGTACAAAGCAGTACTGGGAAGTACGTTGTGCAAGCTTCGTAGTACAAAGTGGTCTGGGAAGTACTTTGTTCAAATCTTGTAGTACAAAGCAGTACTGGGAAGTACGTTGTGCAAGCTTCGTAGTACAAAGTGGTCTCAAATCTTTTAGTTTAAAGTAGTGCAGGGAAGTATTTTGTGGAAATTGCGTAATACAAAGTAGTACTAGGAAGTACTTTGTGCAAGTTTTGTAGTACAAAGTAGTGCTGGGAAGTACTTTGTGCACGTCTTGTAGTACGAAGTAGTACTGGGAAGTACTTTGTGCAAAACTTTGTAGTACGAAGAAGTACTGGGAAGTGTTTTGTGCAAGTCTTTTAGTAAAAAGTAGTAACTAAGTAGTATATACTGGGAAGTACTTTGTGCAAGTCTTGTAGTACGAAGTAGTACTAGAAAGTATTTGGTGCAAGTCTTTTAGTGCAAAGTAGGACTGGGAAGTACTTTGTGCAAGTCTTGTAGTACAAAGTAGTACTGGGAAGTACATTGTGCAAGTCTGGTAGTACAAAAGAGTACTAGGAAGCACGTTGTGCAAGTCTTGTAGTACAAAGGAGTGCTGGGAAGTACTTTGTGCAAGTCTTGTAGTGCAAAAAGTAGTGCTGGGAAGTACTGACAGTAAAAACCTTTTGATGCACAGAAAAGCTGAGATGAGTTAAGAAGAGCTTCCATGAGAAGAGAATGAAAGGTTGAGCGATGGTCAGTTGAGATGAAAATGGTTGAGAAGAACTTAGATGACATATGAGAAGAGATGAGATGAGAATAGGTGAGATGAGATGAGACGAGACGAGGCGACGAGGTTTCGGATGAGATGAAATGAGATGAAGTGTGAAGTCTAGAATATGCGGTGTGGAATGTTATCTTTGGACAGCAAAGTGCTGCTTGGCGTTGCATTGCAACGTGGTTGTGTGCGGTTCATTTTCTTGGGCAACAACAGTGCACCACTTTCGCACAAAGCACACGTGCACGGGCCTGGGTGGCCGCGCGCAAAATCTGTAGATGAAAAAGGCCTTATAGCACAACCCTAAAGCAACTTCCGCCCCGCCTCGTGCGGGTAGTACTGGTATCATTGTCACATCATATGATCATATTTGTGAATTTTGTGATCTGGCTTGTGATTTGTGTGTTGCCCACAGAAAGAAGTAGTAACTGTCACTTGAAGTTCGAGAGCACTCATTGTTTGCCATTGGCCAGGGGTCTCCGCATGGAATGAACTTTTTGTGGGAAGCTGCACGAAGGGACAACTGTGGGTTCTGGGTATGCTGGGCCTTGAGGCTTGCAGCAGATCATGTCTTCAGAAGCGAGGTTTGTTTGGCTCATGAGCTATCTGGTGCACGTTTTGTGTCTCGTCGGATACCTCTTGCGGTGGGTGGGAGCACTTCTCCTGAAGTTTGCAACTCTTGTTGGGTGGCACTCTTACATTTTTTCTGGGTCTAAGCACATTTTGACACAAAGTCTGGCAATCTCCATTTATATATACGGGATTTTCCATTAAAACCTACATATTTATAGGCTTTATAGGGGATTATCCATGGCCATGTTGATTACCAGAGGGTACCAAGGTCCTGTGGATTTGCCTTCCCCGAGGCGTGAGGCAAGAGCTGGTGAAAGCAAAGGCTCGATGCCAGACTGGCCTGGCTGGAGAGGAAGTGCCTGGAGCAGCTTGCTGGAACACTTGCGCGACGAGGACCCAAAGTGATGTCACCAGCTGTGCAGGAGCAGAGAGTTCTGAATGTTAGGTTGAGCAGCTGTTTTTTTTTGGGGGGGGATCCTTCTGGATCTAGAGTCTTCATGGTTGGAAATTGTTTGATGAGCAAGTTGAATGGACCACTTGAAATACTTGAAACCGAAACCCGCCAACTGAAGCCACCGGACACAACCTTCCTTGGCTCCTTAATCTTAAGAAACCCACCGAGCACAGATGTTCACAGTAAAAACTAGACGTATGTCTTCCCAAAATCTTGGGCAGTGCCTGGAAAGGACTTTAGCAATGCAACTCGGCCCATGGCACAAGCGGCTCCAGTAGAGATGGATCCATGGTAGCAGGGAGTGGAAGTGGACCATTTGAATGTCAGTCCCATCCCTCAAAGCCCCATGCACAGCATCCGTGCCATATCCGTGCCTCAAATGTCAAAGTGTGGTTGTTGATGCGATCAGCTTGGGATAGTCGAAGATTTTCAGGCCATATCATCCCATCGCTCATGTCTGTTGACAGCTTCCCAAGGACGGCCTGGAGCGTGCCACCAGCCATCGACCGGCAGCTCACTCAAACAGCGATACAGAAGATGAAGGGAGCCCCACTGACAAAGAGCAGCGGGCAACCTTCCAGCTCCCCAGCTTTGCCAAAGATGCACCCGACCTCTCCAATTGGCTTTTCGCCAAGTTGCTGGTTTCTCCAATAGACATCATGGCGCACAAGATGCGGGGGTCCCGAAGCGACAAACCGCGCAAAACCGCTTGTCGGCCCCATTGATGGCGCAGCTCACAGGCAAAAAACGCCGTGCAATATTTACATGCATGCATGCATACAGTGCTCCACACAGTACTCTGGAGCATGAGCATGGCACAAAGGAGGGCCGTCCCTGCAAGAAGAATTGGTTTGATTTGGTTTGCCACCGGCCCTGATGAGCATTTTGGCTTGCAGCCCGGCAACCTCTGTAACGGTCGCGCTTAGTAAGTTTTTGATGCACTACATGTCTACGGTCGGTAAGAGATGTGATGTAATCAGATGTGATGTGTGCAGCATTCTTGACCACCACACCCTACTGATGGTTCGTCCGGACGATGCCCTGGCAGCAGGACAGCTTGGACCCAAGATGCCAGACAATTTTGTCATCGAGACCGCACATCTTCCCGGATTTTGATGGTTTTGTTGGTATCAATCATCTTGGCATTTGCTGGCCATTTCTCGTTTGAGTGGAAGAGTGGAACGACGAGCCCAGGCGTGCCGCGAGCAACTCTGCTTCACGAAAACGATGCCAAGGCAGGACCACATTGAGGGCATTGAACTTTTTGGAACGTGTATGGAAGGTGTGAGGACCTGTTAGGACTGGGTCGTATACCAATAGGATGGAATAGTTTACCATGACAAGGTGACTGCTTCCAGCTGTAAGCTGGGAAATGCTGGATTTTCTGCGGCATTTGGCACTCTTGGTTTTGGTTGTTGTCGCTGGCCAGACTTTGGAAGTTCGTCCCTGCGTTTCGAGGAGAGTCATATTCTCAGTCAGCTGCAGAGCTATGTTTTCAGCAGATACATCGAACAAGAAAGGCTGTACTGGGCTCAAGCTGAGGTTCTGGTCAAGGCTCCAAAACCAAGACCGGGTTGCTATTGTTGCTATCGCATTTTGGGAAAGGGATGGGAGAAATGAGCAGTTGGCTCCCATTTGCAGAGTTTGAGATTGGATAGATATTGGATAGATATTGGATATATTGATATAGATTGTAACATTTCTATACATTTCTGAAAACTAAGACTGTCGTATACTGTCGTTCGCGACGTTTGAAAACAGATGCGACTCAGGGTGGCTTTGGTCACCTCGAACTGGAGATATTGCCCAGACTCGCAGGGCGGCATCAGCTGAGACTTTCCGGAGGCTGGAGAATGTTGGAACATGTTGGAACCTGTCTGAGGGCTCGAAATCTGTTGAAACATGGAGATACTCGGCCAGCTCCTTTGAACATGGGAATACATGGGATCTCCATGCTGTATATGCTGTTTTATTCTTTTCGACAACAGTTAGCAACACCCTTTGACACAGGGAACGGCATCCAGTGTTTATTTGCTGATTTTGAGGCGCAGCCCATCCTGGGACTTGTTCGCAGAGGGCGGGCCAGCAGACGCCTGCGACTAAGGTGAAAGCATGACACAGGGAATGGGCTTCAATCCACACTATTGCAGGCACCAAAGGCTTTGAGTACCTGGACTGAGGTCTGCCTGACCCCCCGGGGTCAAAGGAGAGCCAACTTGGCTTGCATTGTATGGCCCTTGGAACGTGTCAGCTGCCAGGTGTGCCCAAGACGGTTTAAAGATAGTTTATGCCCCAAGGTGAGATTCGGATCTGGGACCCAGAAATGACTCGAATCGATTTTCTAAGGCCAGGGGTGAAGCGCCGGCACCAGCTCTGCCAGGATCTCGGATGTGCAACTTGAAGCTTTCCATGGCACAGGTGTGTGGTTTTGCTTTCCTATTTTGATGATTCATCCAGCTGACCCAGAGCCCTTCATGTCCACTTCAGACCTCACTTCATCGAAAGCTATTGTGCTGGAAACCTTTGTCGAATATAGACTATAGATGACTATAGATATTTTTATATGATTATATAAATAGAGGTGTTTTGAATCTGATTCCATTCAATGGCTTCTGCTGGCTCAAGACTGGGGCAGCCGCGTGGTCAGCGCACAGCTGCAGCGGCCAGCGCAGCATGGCGCTTTGTGCCGCTCGACGGATTCTTTTTGTCGCTTCGGGTCAAGGTACTGAACAGTGCCAAGCATTGTCAAAAGTGGGGTTAAAAGCCGCGGTTACCGGCTACAACCCACCTACTGTGAGACAATGGGGATAGCTTTACTCAACAAAACTCACAATTTACCATGCCATGAGAAGCCATGAGAGGCTTGTGCAAACCACTTTTTCTCACGACCCTACAAGCCCCTCTTGGGAAGTCCAGGCCTTGGACAGCTGCGAACGCAGCAGATGCTGAGAAAGGCCAGGCAACTTGGCACCAAGACACATTCCACACCTGGGACCTGACATGACCTGACATGACCTGACCGTCAGATACCGTCAGGCCATGGAGAAGAAGGCTCCTCTGATCAAGGTGCAGGCCAGACATTCCATGAGAGGTCGGAGAGATTCGGAGAGATTCGGAGAGATTCGGAGAGATCATTGAATTCTGCTTGAATTTTGGCATATTTTGGCCGCAGGCAGAGAAGCGCTCCAACGAACTCGGCGGGGGTCAATTACCTCGAGAACTGCCTTCCCAGCTGCTGGCCAGGAATCAACAGCACTGGCAAAGCCGCGAACGTGGTGTGTTCCAGTCTAAACTCTAAACCTTTTCGGCCCAGGTTGAAGTTGCACTTGCCGCTGGTGGCTTGGGAACAGCTCCTTGTCTAAAGTGGTTTAGGTAACTGGTAGGAAGACACATCGTGAGTTGTGATGCTTATGGGGCTTGACGCCGCCCAGCTAGCCCCTGGCAGGTTCCGTGATACGATCAATGGAGCGCTCAAGAAGGAGAAGGCTACGCGTCGAAGAATTCACAACACCAGCGGAGACCTGACCGCAAATGCGATACTTACACCATATTACACCCCTGAAAAAAGATAAAACAACTGTCCAAGTCGGCTAAGTCCGGGATCTATATGATGAGGGCCCGCATAAGGGAATTTCATGTTCAACGATGGGACCAGATAATCAAACCATATCATAACAATAAGTTTGATAATCACGAAAGCTTGCGCCACATATTCTCTCAATACACACCTCTCCTTGCCCAACCAGCTTTCGTCCCCTTCCCTTTGGCCTTAAGTTAGTTGCACACCTCGCCATGTCCGTCGCTGCTTTTGCTACTACTATGCCTTTGCTACGAGGTGTGGGGCACGGCCTTAACATTTGCAATTTCAGTGTGCCCCACAACCCAAGGAGTGCCTACTTTACTCGGCGCGGGCTGTGTCATCGGTTCAGCTCTAGGTATGGTTGGAGCCTTATTGGTGACATCACGGAAAAGAGATTTGGCTATGTCCACAGGCCATGTCCAAACTTGGAGATAATTACCAGAAATCCATCCGAATACGTGCCCGAATATTTGCTGTATCATCTACCGTAGGGACCACAGCAGCTAAACGAATGGTTGGGGTATCAGCCATGTTTGCTGTAATCCATGTGGTTTGGAACATTGCGACAAGCATGACTTTCACCAGCAGCTGAGATCCTGCTGCATGTCCTTCAATTTGACTCCACTTTTGGTGAAGCGCTGCTGGCTGTGCCTCCGGCGGTGGCTTTGTGCTTTTGGGCAGTCACGCGGATCCTGCTGATGCCTCTTGGTCAATTTCAGCTTCGCGTTGAGTCAAGTTGTGTAGGCCACTCAAGCTACATTGATTCCAATCCCCAAGATAGCTCAACTACTATATAGGTACTCAACTACCTTCCAAGCAAAGTCGGACCGGGAACACTCTTGATTTGTTGTGATCAAACTGGCAGGCTTTGGTTTGTGACTCCTGTGACGTTGAAGGCTAATACGGCCAACATAGCACAAGGTCCAAAAGCAAGAAATTGGCTTCTGCCTGAGCATTGGGGGTGCGTGATTCTTGGCATTGACAAGCTTTCAGGAAACATGCGCGGAAACATCAGCGATGCATGCAGGAAGTCATCAGTGTGGCACTCAGATTAATGGTTGACCACATACAATGGAGACAAACAAATTGAAGATATTCAACACTTTTAACCAAGCAGTTTTCTTGGTTAATGTGTATAATGTATGCAATTGGCAGTGCTTCCCTGCTTGAGGCAGTTGGAGGAAAGCCTGCGACAAGCTCATGAGGGAACACCGCGCCCTGGCTGTCAGCATAGCGACTGGCACGGAGGACCCGGCTAATGCTGGTAGTGATGGTGATAGGACCCGGCTAATGCTGGTAGTGATGGTGATGGCGACACCTCGTGAGCTGTTTCTGTTGCAGGAAATCGCAGCAATGGACTGGTTTGGGAGAGCTTCGCAGCATGTGAAGGACTGGGAGTTCTTGGGATTTGACACTGCATGATTGCACCCCACCATGACATTCCCAGTTTTGTGTCCAAGCTGGACTTTTCCCTCTAGCAGACTGACTGCTCCAGGATGTCTTTTGCCTTGATTTCCGGATCATTGATGAACATCTTGGCAGAGAGTTCCGCAGGCCACGGGAAACGCACAAAGAAGTGAGAAGTCGATTTCCTGAGGGGAACCTATGTATATACGCATATAGGATGCACATCTATCTATATATCTATATATATATAATATAAATATATCCATGCATATCCTAAATTATCCTAAGATAAGAAGAGTGGAATTGTCACTTGCAAGGTTGCTTGGTAGTCACAGGATTCTCCTTTTTGAAACGCCAGATGCAGATGAATGGGGACGACGGAGAGCGTTTCAGAATGCCAGGAGCCTCCCTAACGTCAGCTTCACCATGGATACAGATGACAAAGACAGCACACGTCCACCCAGTGGCGGCAGTGGGAGTGGCAAGCTCAACTGTTGAAGATTGGGATCCTGTATCATCCTGTACTTCTGGCTAGAATCAAGAATGTGATAGATTGAAGGTGTACATATGTGTACATGGAGCCAAGCAAAGTTGGCAGAGGTTTTCATCTATCATCATCTATCTACTTAGTTTCTTGTTTCATCATTTTGCCATTAAGATCCATTGAGGTCCATTAAGTTAGGGCGAAGTAGTTGACTTTTTTGATCCCAGAGTGTGACAGCACTCGTTCAGGTTCTGCTTTGCGTGTTGCCGGGATGGCGGAGGCCAGTCGGGTCCCGACTTTGTCACATATGGAAATGCATTTTCTATGCGATGCTTCGATGCCTCCACCAATCCTCCACCTTCCTTGTGCAAGAGTATCTGTAAATACGCGTGTATGTGATTATTACGTGTCTTTTTTCCCTCTCTCTCTCTCTCTGTGTCCCTCTCTTTACTCTACTTCGACACGGTATATATTATGTACAATAAGGCACTGATTGATGGTTTATTCTATTAAATTTACTTTTGTTCTTCTGATTTGTTCAAGTCTTGGCGAGAATCAGATGTCATGCTTGGGGACCATGATGCATGAGACCCTTTTTTGAAGCTCAAACTGGCCAGCACTGGCGGACGACAACCAGACACCGCAAGGTTGATCTGCAGCTTCGGCCGATGTCAGCCGCACACTGAGCTCGGTCTGGTTCAACGGCGTGGAGCGCTGGAAATATGATGGAACATTGCAATCCAACAGATTCCGCGGGATTTTTTAGGTAGAAACTCATGCTGAACTGATCCTTCCTCTTCCTCCTTTGGTGCTTGGAAAATGGGTGCAGAAGAATGCTGAATGTTGTATTCTGCACGCCACGAGGCTCCAGACGTGGGCGATGCAGAGGTGGGCCCTCGCCGATGTCAAGAAGAAACTGGTTGCACTGACGCCCTGAGGAAACAGGAGGAAACCTCATTCTATACTCCAAACTTAAACAGCCCATCCACGTTACCGGAGGTGGTAAATGTGGCTGGCTCAACAGCATCCAACTGGACCACCGCATCAGTGTGGAACCCAGCCACAAACCTTTTGGGGATGGCTGCGAGCCATGGTCAGATTTGCTCTCATTGTATCCATCCACCTTTGGTTTGATAGACATTTTACATCCTTGATCTAAATCATTCTAAATCCATACCTGACTGCATGAAATCAACACGGTATTAATCGAATATATCGAACTGGCCATCAGATCTCCACCAATTGTGGGATTGACCGTCCAGGGCACCTCCAGAGCCAGTCGAGAGGCAGGGAGGGCTGAGATGATAGGAACTTGAAAATGATGAAATCATTGGTTGGACTTGGCGAGGTCAACTATATAATGATAATGAAATGGGCTAGCGCCCAGGTGCCGCCGACCCCCCTAATTGGAGGGGGGGTACTGGCAAGCAACCTGGGGAGTATGATGTAGCACATGATCCCGCATATATATATATATACACACATAATATGTACTGTACACCTAGCAAAGATGATGTCTTGTGATAACACTTGGGACCCATCTTGGCTTCGCAATTGGCAAGCACTTTAAAAATTCCGTCGTTTCTCGACCGTCCGTTTCAATCCCAGGAAGAATCTCATCCGTTCCGATTGAAAACAGCAACAGTTTCCATGGGGTGTCACATGTCCAAAAGCCAAACCACGACTGTGCAAAACACGTGGGTACCCTCCAGTCCTTTACCAGAGCCATCAGGAATGGCCCACTTGTTATAGTTTGTTCAAACTTAAAAATCACTTCATCCTAACCCAACGGCGCCAACTTGGTCTCTGCGGGCCGGAACATGGTGCGTGCTCGCGTGAATATCGTGGCCCGTGCTGAGCGGCTGGAGGACGAGGAGCTTAGCTCAACCCACCGGCCTGCGATGCGTCTGTTGGATATTTCCATGGGTCGCCACGGTCATGCAGCTAGATTGCATCGGAAGCGTGGATGATTTTTCGGGCCGAGATTGTGTTAGGGGTTTGGTGGTTTCTTTTTGTCTCGGATTTCTCTTCTGAGTTTACCTGCCGTAGTGTATTGTTCCCGACTGTCCAGGTGAAGGTCGTTGAGATATTATCAGAGTTATGCTCTTTCTGTTAGGGGTTATGTTAAGTAGCGTAAGTTTTGTGTGTTCTGCTCGTTTTCCGGGCAATGATCGCTGAGGGAGAGCGCGTTGTGAAAGAATGGTGGGAAGTGGCTGGGTTCGCTGTTGTGGCAGGACGGTGCCTTGGCGAAGATTACGATGTAAGAAGGAACGAGCATGCTTGAGAGTACTTCAGTGCAGTATGAATATGTTTGGCCTGGAGTGGCAAATTCCTTCGGATGTTTCTTGCTTTTTGAACATGAGCCAGAGGCTTGTCGCAGAGACGCTGTTAGCAAGACAGATGTCTTGGACCGGTGCAAGAGCTGCAGAGAAGACGTATCTGGAGTGCAACGAGGTGTGCTGAACACGTCAGGGATGAAAAAGATTGTTGAGAAAGTGAGAGAGATTTACAGAGATGTTGGAGATAGTTGGTTTGCATTACAGGCAACTGAGAGGATGGCTGGTGCCAGTAGTTTCTCTGTGTTTGCTTTATGGGATTGCCTTTTGAACCAAATCGGTTGCAGCCAACAGAAGGTGCAGAACCCCTTTTACGAAGTGAGCGGGCAGCCGCTGACGTTGTTTCAGGCGCTGGAGTGTAGCCAGGCTTGGTGTTGTTGTTTGCAGTGCAGTGGGTGGCGATGGTGGAGTAGTGTGCCTGCAGAACTTTGAGGGCCCACATAGCAAGGAAAAACATGGAAGCCAGATGCGGGAGAAGACACATGCATATAATCGGAAGAAGTTAGATCCTTCGGGGTGATTTCACTTCTCCAAACTGAAAGCATACGAATGGAGGATGGTCTTCCAGAATTGATAACTAGAACTGCACGTGGAATATACTTATCTTCCAGGATTCGAAATCAATTCCATGGATAGAATATAGAATCTGAAGATCAAGCAAGCGATTGTTGTTTAACTTGATGACAGGATATTGTACAGGGGCCTCGTGCAGGTCCACACTCCGACAAAAGCGGATGATCAGCTCGTTGCGGCGGTGCGTCGATGGTTGCACCTGGGCATGAGCCGAGAACTTCGCATAGCAGTGGCCATGCTGAACTTCTGCATGCGCTCGGTAGCGTTCAGTGCTGTGGCGCACATTGGGGCTGTTGTTTGGCGAGGAAGGATGAAGCATACATATGGCATAATGTGACATGATCACAGGAAGTTGGGGAGCAATATTTCGAGTTAGGGACAAATACAACGAAGGGTGGTGTGTGACTTCACATTACATTAGCATACCTCACAGAGGAATTGGCCTTGATGGAGTTCTGTGCGATGTGACATTACATCACACTACATCCTTCATGAAGGGTGCTGGAAAATGTTGCGTGCAAGCTTTGCAGTACATTTCAAAAAGGGGCAAAAGTGGGGCGGGAATTGCTGTTGCGGTTCTGGGGTGGTGAAAAAATGGATTGGAGGGCGCTGCGAGCGAAATACCGAGACGAAAGACAATGCAAAGAATGTAATGAAGCAAAGCCGGCGTCTGCATTCACGGCTGGTCGACGGAAACGAGCAGATGCGGCGAGAGTATGCAAGGAATGCATTCGTAGGCACGTTGAGGCGCAGCAGCCGTGGCAATGCATGGCCTGCACGGCGTGGAAACAGGAAGATGCATTCAAGACAGAACATGCAAGGCCACAAGCCACATTTTATCGTATTTGTAAGACGTGCGAACAGACACAAGTGTGTAGTGTTTGCAATACGCGCAAGGACGAAAAGAAATTTTCTGGCGGGGCCTGGAAACGAGCACGCAGGGGCGGTAGAGTGTGTCTAGATTGTTCGAGTAAAGCATGGGGCTGGTGGAGATGCAGCGTCTGCAAGGTAAAGCAAGCAGCGTGCGCTTTTGAATCTTGGCTGGCGCAACATCGTTCTTGTAATGGTGACCAAGTCTGTAGCAACTGCTGGCAGTGCCCCATTCCCCGGGGAAGCATCAGCAAAGCGGTACAGCGGGTAGCGGCAACGCAGGCGAAAGTGGCGAGGATGGCAGCGGAAGAAAAAAAGGCACGCGCCATCGCCGATGTCTGGGATGCCATCGCGGAACGAAAACGGAAGAGAGAACAGGAGAGCCCCCAAAGGAAGGAAGCAGAGCCGAAGGCAAAACAGCGCAGACAAGAGAACGGAACAGACATGACCACAGAGCGGCCTGCAGATGTACATGGCCAACAGGACGATAGCAACGGACGGCAGAGGGCGGTGCGGCCAACGAAGGCGGCAGAAGCCATGGCCAAGGGCAAGATTTTCCAATACGTGTGTCCGCATTGCCAGCAGCCTGTAAACAGTACTATACGAACAGGCCAAGTCAATCACCGCCGCACATGCGGTAACTATTTCCAAGTCCAGGAAGGACGCCCTTGTGCGAAACAGTATGACTACGTTTGTCCCGCTTGCAGTGGGCATGTAGCTAGTAATGTGGCGACAGGGCAAATAGACCATCGAGCAGTCTGTGGGAACAAATTTTCTGTGCAGGATGGTGTTGTTAAAGAGAAAGGCGTCGTTTACAGGTGTCCATTTTGCAAGGGAAATGTGAGAAGCGATGTCAGGACGGGGCAAATAAACCATCGAACAGTCTGTGGGAACAAATTTTCTGTGCAGGATGGTGTTGTTAAAGAGAAAGGCGTCGTTTACAGGTGTCCATTTTGCAAGGGAAATGTGAGAAGCGATGTCAGGACGGGGCAAATAGACCATCGAACAGTCTGTGGGAACAAATTTTCTGTTCAGGATGGTGTTGTTAAAGAGAAAGGCGTCGTTTACAGGTGTCCATTTTGCAAGGGAAATGTGAGAAGCGACGTCAGGACAGGGAGAATCGACCATCGAACAGTTTGTGGGAACCAATTTTATGTGAAGGACAGTGCGGTCAGCAAGAACACGCGGTGTCATGCGCACAGCTGCCCGGTGTGCTCAACTGTTGTGTGGTCCTCGCAGTCATGTGGGCGCATTGCGGTGACGCATGTCACGCCCTCGGGAAAACGATGCCAGATGAAACATTGGCACGTTCCCGACAAAAAGGCAAAGAAAAAAAGGCCATGAAATAGAAAGACTGCGCTTGCCGTAGGAACAGATGGCAATGGGGCAAGACCTCTGCAGCGAAGCATTGCCCTAACAAGAGAAGGCTATGTGCAGGCAAAGGGCAGGCTGCAATGCTGGAACGCTGACGGCCAGGAGCTTGGTGGAAGCTGCCGCGAGGGATGTGCAGCCAAAGGGCGGGCTGCAACCCTGGAGCAGCAAAGGCTGACGGCCAGGCTTGGTGGAAGCTGCCGCGAAGGAATTGGAGGGTTTTAGGGGTTTTAGGGGTTTGAAGCCTGGCAAACGGCAGGCTCGAATGCCCTAACAAGAGAGGGCTATGTGCAGGCAAAAAGTTTTAGGCGTTTTAGGCGTTTGAAGCGTGGGAAACGGCAGGCTCGAAGGCCGTAACAAGACGGGGCTATGTGCAGGCAAGGGAGAGTTTTAGGGGTTTTAGGCGTTTTAGGGGTTTGAAGCCTGGCAAACGGCAGGCGCGAATGCCTTAACAAAAGAGGGCTATGTGCAGGCAAGGGAGGGTTTTAGGGGTTTTAGGCGTTTTAGGGGTTTGAAGCCTGGCAAACGGCAGGCTCGAAGGCCCGAACAAGAGAGGGCTATGTGCAGGCAACGGAGGGTTTTAGGGGTTTTAGGCGTTTTAGGGGTTTAAAGCCTGGCAAACGGCAGGCTCGAAGGCCCTAAGAAGAGAGGGCTATGTGCAGGCAAGGGAACGTTTTAGGGGTTTTAGGCGTTTTAGGGGTTTGAAGCCTGGCAAACGGCAGGCTCGAAGGCCCTAAGAAGAGAGGGCTATGTGCAGGCAAGGGAGGGTTTTAGGGGTTTTAGGCGTTTTAGGGGTTTGAAGCCTGGCAAACGGCAGGCTCGAAGGCCCTAACAAGAGAGGGCTATGTGCAGGCAAGGGAGGGTTTTAGGGGTTTTAGGCGTTTTAGGGGTTTGAAGCCTGGCAAACGGCAGGCTCGAAGGCCCTAACAAGAGAAGGCTATGTGCAGGCAAGGGAGGGTTTTAGGGGTTTTAGGCGTTTTAGGGGTTTGAAGCCTGGCAAACGGCAGGCTCGAAGGCCCTAACAAGAGAGGGCTATGTGCAGGCAAGGGAGGGTTTTAGGGGTTTTAGGCGTTTTTAGGGGTTTGAAGCCTGGCAAACGGCAGGCTCGAAGGCCCTAACAAGAGAGGGCTATGTGCAAGGGAGCGTTTTAGGGGTTTTAGGCGAAGGGCAAACGGCAGGTTTAACAAGAGAGGCTATGGGCAGGCAAGGGAGGGTTTTAGGGGTTTTAGGCGTTTTAGGGGTTTGAAGCCTGGCAAACGGCAGGCTCGAAGGCCCTAACAAGAGAGGGCTATGTGCAGGCAAGGGAGCGTTTTAGGGGTTTTAGGCGTTTTAGGGGTTTGAAGCCTGGCAAAGGCAGGCGCGAATGGAGAGGCTAAAACGGAGGGTTTTAGGTTTTAGGCAAAGCCTGCTCGAAGGCCCTAAGAAGAGAGGGCTATGTGCAGGCAAGGGAGGGTTTTAGGGGTTTTAGGCGTTTTAGGGGTTTGAAGCCTGGCAAACGGCAGGCTCGAAGGCCCTAACAAGAGAGGGCTATGTGCAGGCAAGGGAGGTTTTAGGGGTTTTAGGCGTTTTAGGGGTTTGAAGCCTGGCAAACGGCAGGCTCGAAGGCCCTAACAAGAGAGGGCTATGTGCAGGCAAGGGAGGGTTTTAGGGGTTTTAGGCGTTTTAGGGGTTTGAAGCCTGGCAAACGGCAGGCTCGAAGGCCCTAACAAGAGAGGGCTATGTGCAGGCAACGGAGGGTTTTAGGGGTTTTAGGCGTTTTAGGGGTTTGAAGCCTGGCAAACAGCAGGCTCGAAGGCCCTAACAAGAGAGGGCTATGTGCAGGCAAGGGAGCGTTTTAGGGGTTTTAGGCGTTTGAGGGGTTTGAAGCCTGGCAAACGGCAGGCGCGAATGCCCTAACAAGAGAAGGCTATGTGCAGGCAAGGGAGCGTTTTAGGGGTTTTAGGCGTTTTAGGGGTTTGAAGCCTGGCAAACGGCAGGCTCGAAGGCCCTAACAAGAGAGGGCTATGTGCAGGCAAAGGGCAGGCTGCAATGCTGGAACGCTGACGGCCAGGAGCTTGGTGGAAGCTGCCGCGAGGGAGGGCTATGTGCAGGCAAGGGAGGGTTTTAGGGGTTTTAGGCGTTTTAGGGGTTTGAAGCCTGGCAAACGGCAGGCTCGAAGGCCCTAACAAGAGAGGGCTATGTGCAGGCAACGGAGGGTTTTAGGGGTTTTAGGCGTTTTAGGGGTTTGAAGCCTGGCAAACAGCAGGCTCGAAGGCCCTAACAAGAGAGGGCTATGTGCAGGCAAGGGAGCGTTTTAGGGGTTTTAGGCGTTTGAGGGGTTTGAAGCCTGGCAAACGGCAGGCGCGAATGCCCTAACAAGAGAAGGCTATGTGCAGGCAAGGGAGCGTTTTAGGGGGTTTTAGGCGTTTTAGGGGTTTGAAGCCTGGCAAACGGCAGGCTCGAAGGCCCTAACAAGAGAGGGCTATGTGCAGGCAAGGGAGGGTTTTAGGCGTTTTAGGGGTTTTACGGGTGTGAAGCCTGGCAAACGGCAAGCTCGAAGGCCCTAAGAAGAGAGGGCTATGTGCAGGCAAGGGAACGTTTTAGGGGTTTGAGGCGTTTTAGGGGTTTGAAGCCTGGCAAACGGCAGGCGCGAATGCCCGAACAAGAGAGGGCTATGTGCAGGCAAGGGAGCGTTTTAGGGGTTTTAGGCGTTTTAGGGGTTTGAAGCCTGGCAAACGGCAGGCTCGAAGGCCCTAACAAGAGAGGGCTATGTGCAGGCAAGGGAGGGTTTTAGGCGTTTAAGGGGTTGTACGGGTGTGAAGCCTGGCAAACGGCAGGCTCGAAGGCCCTAAGAAGAGAGGGCTATGTGCAGGCAAGGGAGGGTTTTAGGGGTTTTAGGCGTTTTAGGGGTTTGAAGCCTGGCAAACGGCAGGCTCGAAGGCCCTAACAAGAGAGGGCTATGTGCAGGCAACGGAGGGTTTTAGGGGTTTTAGGCGTTTTAGGGGTTTGAAACCTGGCAAACGGCAGGCTCGAAGGCCCTAACAAGAGAGGGCTATGTGCAGGCAAGGGAGCGTTTTAGGGGGTTTTAGGCGTTTTAGGGGTTTGAAGCCTGGCAAACGGCAGGCTCGAAGGCCCTAACAAGAGACGGCTATGTGCAGGCAAAGGGCAGGCTGCAATGCTGGAACGCTGACGGCCAGGAGCTTGGTGGAAGCTGCCGCGAGGGATGTGCAGGAAGCTGCCGCGAGGGATGTGCAGGCAAAGGGCAGGCTGCAACCCTGGAGCAGCAAAGGCTGACGGCCAGGCTTGGTGGAAGCTGCCGCGCACATTGAAAGCCCGCGCGGAAAAGTTCCACACCTGCGGTGGTCCCAGGCGCCGCCCCGGCCTTGGCGAAGGCCGGGGTCGGCGGATATATGATAATACATGATAATACTGATAGTTGGCGAGGTCCACTGTTGGATATCTTAGAGCCTGCGAGTGAGAGAGAGAGAGAGAGAGAGAGAGAGAGAGAGAGCACGTGGGCCAGCGAGCGAGGGAGGGAGGGAGGCAGAAATAGAGATTACTTACATATACTGTGGCATTGGAGTGTATGACATGTATCACCATCCGTGATGTGACCTCGCTCTATGGCCAGGCTTGGACATAGATGAGCGCGACCTGACTGCTGCGGGCAGTAGGAGCTGCCGGGATGTGGAACGGACTCCTGCGCAGTAGCACCAGATGCATGAGACAAAACCCAAATTCCAAAGGAATGTGGCGCAAAAAGATCCGACGCAAATTGAACTGCCAAAACTGGCTGCAGCTTCCCAAGATTCTAAGATGGTGTTGACATTTTTTTCAATTTTGAACTGACCATGATGACCATGATAGGATGCCATGCGCCCCCCAATGCTACCAGGGTTTCTTGCAGAAGTGGTCGCTGTCAAGTGTGGCCATTTGGGGTTCAGGGGGCCGTGCAGCAGCTGCTGCGCAAACGCGCCCGCGCCATGGGGAAGAAGAGGCGTCGAGATGAAGAAGAAGCTGAAACTGAAGGCAAGGGAAACTCAGCGCAATGGTCGAAGTGAGTCCAGGCACAGTCTGGACACCCTAAAGTATTATGGTTTCATATTAAAATATGTCAAAGATTCATTTTCACCATTGTGAATCCAACGAAAATAGGGAGTTTACAGGGTCCAGTTGGAGGGTACGTCCAGGCGAAGCGCCGCCCAGTGCTGAAGCTGTTGATGTAGGCCCTGGAGCTGACTGGACCTGACCTGACCAGCGCTTCAGCTTCGTCCATGGCAGGCAACAAGAAAAACAAACAGAAAGGGGCCAGGTCCTGAGATCTCTAAATCGATCTAAAGGAAGATTGCCAAGTTCTTATGAGTCAAAGTTCTTCGTTTCTTTAATAAGTTTTAACAAGTAATAAATAGTTTTACGCGCGTAAGATCATGTAAATCAGTTTCAGTCAGGTGGTGCACGTGCAAGACCTCAGCGACAGTGACCTGAAGGAGCCATGGCAGGGGCGTCCGCTTGGATTTTTGGCAAAGATTTTTTGCAGTGTTTGACATTTTACCCTCTGGTAATTTAACATAGCCATGGAAAATCACCATTTTTAATGGGAAAATCCACTATACATGGCCATTTTCAATAGCTATGTTAAATTACCAGAGGGTATATCATTTTATTGGGGATTGATTTAATATATTTAATTGATTTGGCAGGTTTGGTCATTCAATTTCCATCCCCAGTCTTTGTGGATTGATGGGGCTCCCATCTTCAGAAAGCCCATCGACCAACCAAATCAGCAATATCAATCAATATCACGCATCAATTTCATCACAGTACCTCAATACAGTTGTCAATACATATTTTCGATATTTTCTTGGAATGTTTTTTAATCATATTATCAGGGATTATCCAGCCAGAGCCAAACACCTTGGTTTCTTTGACGCAGGTTGCCTGCCTCCTGTGAACTGACGGATATGAAGCAGCAACAGATCAATGGTGAAGACAGCAATTATAGTTTTTTTTTTTTTTTTATTGGTATTTGCTCACAATTTCATGCATTGCCAGCCAAGGGGCTCAAATTTCAAATGCCGATCCTTGTGCTTCGTTTTATTTCCTGTGCGTTTTTCGTCCTCCGGTGTCATGCAGCTCCTGACACTTGGGTTAGCCTTGTAGAATGTGGTGGTGTCGATCGTGGCTTATTTCCTGTGGGCGAGTGTGTGCCCTGGAGAAATCCAGGGGGTAGGTTCTCCATCGAATTTACTATGCCAAATGACACGCACGTCGGCTATAAGGCTTATGAAGGTTTGCAGTGCAATGGAAGTGTAACTTTTCCCCCTGTCTATGAGAAGGGCGTTTGCAGCGGATGGCCCGCTCAAAGCGGTGGCACCCCTGACCAGGTTACGTACTCAATTCTGAGAGGCCTCGGAGGTCAGATGCGGTCCTATGTGGCGGGCACCGCTTGCGCAGGTGATCAGCGACCAAAGTCCCAGCACGAATCATTCATACAGCATTTGCTGTTTGGCCTATTTTGCAGTATGATGAACGATCATGACACATAAAGACCTAGTGCCAAACAACCCCGTTTGATGATCATTACATATGACTGACAGTATTTTTGATTTCTGTTGATTTTGACCCGCTTTGCACAGGCGACTATGAAATGCAGTATTTTCTCTTTGACCAGTGTCTACGTGGTGCTCTATTTGTTTGTGATGAATCACAAATCATTGTCCAGCAATTTCGGACTCAAGACTGCACTGGAGCCGCTGAGACAGTGTTGACCTCTCCTACCAGCGAGTGCCAGCTTGACAGGTTCAACATAGCGCGTCTCATCGAAGCACCTTCCTGCGGATCTACTTCCAGTGCTGAGCAGCTGCATGTGCCCTTGCTACTGATGCTGGCAACTTTTGCGTCGATGAAAATTGTCTCAGAGTCTTTAGATTTTAGATTAGCTGTGAAATTTCACCAGGCCTAAAATTGTGTGGCTGCGTTGTTGCATCCTCTGCTCTGCACATGTGCAGCACAATTGCACGTGAATTTATTTGATTGTCAAGCTGGGGCTGTGCCTTACAAACACGACAGCGCACCCCATCCAATTTTTGGGATATTTGAGGGTCAACTTACATACGTAGTTAAAACATTTCAAGCCATGTGAGAACATGTTAAACCGTTAAACCGTTAAACCCACATCCTGGGTCAGGAGCGAGAAGTTGAACTACAAGAGACATTGCGCAAAGCGCGGTTGAACCAAGGGAACCTGCGTGGCGATCCGCCAGTGCGGACCTCAAGGAATGCGGGAGCGTCGATCGCCTGATTACTGATGGCCCACTGGAGGCTACGAACCGAATACTCTGGCAGAGGCAAGTGACCTATGCCAACAATGCGGTAACCTCAGAACCTGCTCCGTTGCCGGGGTGTTGGGATTTGCTTTTACGGTGATTTTTCACGTCGGAATTGATTCACCAAGATTCAGATGGCTAGCTTTGAATTGGCGACTCCATCAACTCAGGCGGTTCATCGAGCAGAGCAGGCCTATGGCGAAGTTCGACGAGAAATTGAACGGAGGCACACAGTGTCAGAGCTTTCCCAAACGTCAGCTGGGGTATATCACCCATTGCATCCCATTTTGGACCATGGCGCAGGCGTTTCAAGAAGTGACATGGCCGAGGGGCACAAGGCCTGTGACTATGATGATGGATGTATTAATATATATATATATTAATATAATGGGAGCTCTTATGGCATGATCAGCCTCCAAGAACGAGTCAAATACTATAAGTAGATATACATCATCACAAATAAATACTCATATAATCTCATATACACAGCTTAAAATGGGGTACCCATTTTGGACGATGGGTGGCAGCCCTGGTGCCACTTGTTCTGCACAGGTTGCATGTTCGGTGCTACGGTGTGCCCATGGTGCCGCCTCCGCGGTTTTTCCGACCGTGCAGTTTCACCCCGACTTTCAGAAAGACATGCCGCAATGCGAACAGATAGAAAATTGCAGCACATGCGAACCCCTTTGAATGTGAATCTTCAAATGAAAGGCATGACGCGTGATTGCACACGTGATCCAAATGAAACTAGATATATATATATATATAACTTGATACCAATTTCTTGGCAAACTGTCTGATGAAGCCTTGCTGATGATGAAAAATGTAGTAGCCAACCACCCCATGAGTGCCGCTGGAACACGTCTGATGTGCTATGCTATCAGACCATGACATCTATAAGTCTATTATAAGTAATATATATATATATGCACGTTTTTTTTGTTTATTGTTTTTTTTTTTATTTATATGGGTGGACTTGTTTCATAGTTACTGTACTGGTTTCGTGTTTGTATGTTTGATCTATGGCGTGGAGATCTGCCGAATCGCCACGAGCCAAGGACTCCGGTTCCACGCACTCCCAGGAGCCCACCGACAGGTGAGCAGATGGTGATATCACATGTATCCATAAGGATGTGATGGTATCATATGGTATCATCCATAGCCTTGCTATCATCCAAAACTATCCAAAACTGTCAATCTTGGGAAACAATAAATTATCCTTTTATATATATACATCACTTTATTGTATTTTGCTGGATCCCCTGATTCTTGAACGATGACCTCAAAAAAAACCAAATTCATCTGACCAGGTCAGCCTACGAAGCCAAGGCAAGGTGGTCTCACCCGAAAAGGAATGGATGGATTGCGTGGCTCACCTGTGAGCACCGAAAGTGGAACACAGTGGAACCATGGGAGGCAGGCATCGCAGCCACCACCAAAGTCCACACAGGCATGGATATGACACAAACTTGCAGCGTTTCCATCTATTTCATGTCCCATTTCCATTTCCATGTCGTGTGTTCCGGTGGCTCTTGAAACGGCCGGCAGGGAGTTACCGTTCAAAGCGCTCCAGATGTCCGGGTTCACGTTGGAGAGTCTGGAACTTGGCCACGATGTCCAGCTCGAGGAGAATCAAATCCATTCCACCAACATTACAATACATTAAACACCCCTCATAAACCATTGGTTTTTGGTGGATTTACACATATTGGATCATATTGAACTTTATCTTTTTGGGGGTATGTTTAATTGTAGAGCTTCGCACACCAGCGATGCCCTTCGGGTAGGGGGCGTTCGTGGCTGTCAAGCTGAGGAGTTTGTGTTGGCAGCACAGGTTTGAACAGGGTTGGTACTGTAGGGAAGCTGAGGGCCCAGAGCAGGCCGAAAGTGTGATCAAGTGCTGCGGGTAGCGCCAAAGAGGAGGGCAGATAGCAAACATGCGTGTGCCCATTACCAGTGTTAAGCAAGGATGTTTATGGATAGAGTCACATGCAGAGAAAGCTGTAAAAGACACATGGCAGTGAGTGGAAAGGTTCGGCGCGGCAAGTGGGGCTTCTCCGCGATGGCAAACGACATATGTACGTGTACGCGTGCCACAATTTTCGCTTTTGTGCAGCTTCGAAGTTCCCGAACTGCTCAAGTCCGCTCTTGTTCTTGTTCTTGTTGTTCTTGTTCTTCTTCTTCTTGTTGTTGTTGTTGTTGTTTTTGTTTTTGTTGCAACGCATCTGTTTTCGCATTTTTGTGGGCCCCAAAAAAATTGTCACGCAGGTGGTGTTTTCGCATTTTTTGACATTCTCGGAGCAACAACACCGTAAATACCAATGTTTTTGGCCTCGGAAGCCAAACACCATGGTATTTACATGTATTTACGTTTTTTTTTGGTAGCAAGAAACACGGCATTTACATGCATTTACAATGTTTTTGGCCCGGGCCTAACAAAAACATTGGTATTTATGCAATTTTCAGCATGTTGCAAGATATAGTTCTACATGCGAGAGGGACAAAAACACCGTATTTATAATAGCATGTTTTTGTTTCTCGAGCGCAGAAAAATTGTCAAACAATAGCTCAAAAAGGCCGAAATCGATTTCCAAAAGCATTCTAATTTTAGCATCTTTTTTCCCGGCCCCGGACCCCGAAAATTTGAAAACACCAGCAGAATGAAGGATTTTGGGGGGTCGGCGGCAGGTGTGCGCCCCTAGGTAGCTAAAGCCATTTACATTGGTACACACACACACACACACACGGCGAGCCATCGCCGGATTTAAAGGCTTGCGCCTGAATGCCGGGTGCCGGCTAGTAGCTTCACCCTGGGTAAGGGTGGCAAGGGTGCAGGGGCCACCAGGATCCGTTTTCTTAGTTTTTCGTAGCTTGGATTAACATGGCAGCGGGCATCTCCTAGAAATATTAGAGCCATTAGCGGCTTACGCCTTTCAGATTGCCACAGGCCCTATGGGTTCACATACTATAGAATTGCTCGCCAGAAATGGCGAAATCTGAATATGCTTTTGGTTTCCGCGCCATGTTGGGCCTGGAGGCCAAGTTGGGGCCATCTTGAGCGTACAGCGTATGTCGAGCCTATGTTGGGCCAAGAACGGTGTGTTCATCTGAGAATCTGGGCCCTTGCACCAGGGCCCAGATGAACACGCCCTTTTTGGGTCATGTGAGGCCCATGTTGGGGTTTCATGTCACGGCCATTTTGAAGCAATTTGGGGTTTCATGGAAGTGGCCGGAGGCCTGAAAAACTCCCAACGAAAAAACTTTTTGTTGTTTTTTTTTTTGGGTCTTGCTTGGGGGATACATTGGGCCATTTTGGGCCATGTGGGGGCCATGTTGGGGCCATGCTGGGGCTATGTGTGACCCATGTTGGACTGATGTTGGTCCATGTTGTCGAAGTTACAAGCTTTGTTTCCTCTAGACTAGATGTTTTTCTCACAAAATCGCATGTCTGTACATGGTAGGAGTACGCTAAGATGAAGTGACCTGGGAAATGTTTTTTTTTAAAAATCAAACGCAGGCAGATAAGGCAAGGGCAGTGAGGGGATTAACTTGAGAACTGAGAATTTTTCCATCGCTCACCATGCTCAGCGACACGCCAAACACCAATCCCACCTAACCGTACGCTAAGATGAAGTGACCTGGGAAATGCATTTTTTTTTTTGAGAAAATCAAACGCAGGCAGATAAGGCAAGGGCAGTGAGGGGATTAACTTGAGAATTGAGAATTTTTCCATCGCTCACCATGTTCAGCGACGCGCGCCAAACACCAATCCCACCTAACCCAGGCAACCCAAGCAGATCTTGATTTTCAGAGCACAGTCTGCAGCTGAAAGGATGCTGCAATTTGGTGGCTCAGTGGGTCAGAGTTCAGAGTGGAGAGTTTCAAATTTGTTTCATTATCATGTGAGTTATTCCCACGTGAAGCGTGCAATGATTTCAGGTTCTAGAACTCTAGCCATTAGCGCACATTTTTTTCCTTCGCTCGATTGCTGCATGGCAGTCATGAACTCCAAGTGCTTGGGCAATGCTTTGGTCCACTGCGAGGGGTTGATCACAATCACAACGAAGGATCCTTCGACTGTCCCGACTGCCTCGGCCTTAGCCCCTGCCGGGCCTGCCGCAGTCGAAAAAGGTGATAAGGGTTATGAGTTAGGGCCTGTGGCAGTCCAAGGAGGTGATAAAGATCATGATCTCTTGCAGTCCAAATGCTTGGGCAATGCCTTGGTCCATGATGGGTTGATGACATCGACAGCAACGAACGATTCTCCACCGCCACCGACCTCAGCCTTAGCCCCTGCCGGGCCTGCGGCAATGGAAGGAGGTGGGAAAGATGATGATGATACCCTACCATTAGACTTTTGGGGGAATGATGACCTGGCAGTGGCAGCTTCATGTGTTCACTTGCCCTTAGAACAGCTTGATGGAGTCGAAGTGGATTCGGGTGTCGGCGTCACGGTTCCAGCCAAGCGCCAGAAGCTGATTTAGATTTTGATTGGGCACCGAGAAAAAGATTTGAAAAAATGTTTTGTTCTTTGCACGAACTCCGAAGCTCCAATTGTGTTCAGATTCAGGTTCAAACTCACAAGGTCTCTGTCCTATCAGTTTTTTTGGTAGGTCATGTCAGTTTGGTGGGAATTTGGGATATGTTGGATCCTGCACTTTCCAGAATGGCAGTTGCTGTCGGCTGTGTCTTTTTCTGTAGATCATGTCAATTCGTTGGGTTTCAGCTGAAAGGATGCTGGAATCTGGGATGCGTTGGGTTTTGCATTTTCCGGAATGCAGTTGCAGCTGGCTGTAGCTGAAACTGAAACAAAATCACACGGTATAAAAAAAACATGGATCCAACAGTTTGGTAAAGGTCAAGGTCGCAGTTGCTTTAGTTGACAGTAGGCTTTCGGATGACACTGGATACTTCCATCAACCATTAGGTAGCCAATAGCTAATTATCAGCCTAGTTCAATGTCTGTAGCATCTACAGCATCATCATGCACGACCATTATCAGTATCAGAATTTGGAACATTTCAGTCAGACTAGATTCTGATTCGCATTTCCACTCACATGTCCTTCCAGATACAGAGGTGTAGGCTAAGGTCCGTGCCGTGGCCGATTGGATGCAATGGCAACTGGGATTATCCAAGTTGTTTCAGTGATCATGGCAGCGCTTGGAGTGTTCTTGCATTCATATCCAGAAGGAACTTCTCAATCCAGAGTGAATGTTGCAGGTCTTGGTACGCGTCGTTTTTTTTGCCCTGAGCCAGATTGGTTCAAATTGCGAATGTCTCTGTCAGTGCAAAACGCTGTTGGTGAAACCGGGTGTGCAGCTGCTGGCACCGGCACTCGGACTGGCGCAGACGAACTCCCAACAGAGTTTTGGTTGAAGTATTTTGCAATTGTCAAAGTGAAAACTGTGTGGCAAGATGTTTTGACATATTTGAGTGAAGAGGAGTTCTGGGGCTTGGAGTTCTTTCATTACCCAACAGATTTTTTTTCTGTCGAAGTGGTTGAGCTCTACGCTTTGGAAACACCACGGAAAGCTGCAGAGGCTGTCTTCAGAAGTTTGTCCAGAGGGCCAGATGGTCTTGTGCGAGTTACTCGCCCAGAATCTTTTGTGATTTCAAGCGTGCTCACAAAACCCAACGAATTGTTCTGTTCTGGCAAAGATTTCCGTTCGATTGAGGTCAGGAAAGTGACCAAGGCTGATCTTCAGAGTCAGGGCTGTAGTTTCCAAACAATTCAGAGCGTGCTCGGAGCATTCGACATCAGGAGCGAAAATTGGACACCATTCTCTCTGCCTGTTGTCAAACCTTTGTACCGACTACTTACAAAGAGGGACTGGGCTTGTATTCCATGTTTGGGTCGGTGGCTCAACATTGTGAGGCATTTGTCTCCCGAGTTTCAATGCAGGGTAGGAAGCACTGGAAACGATCAACCTGATTGTACACAGGGAAAGTTGTCCATGGCGAATCTTCGGACCTTGATGATGCAAATACAGTCCTGGACACCCCGGATCTTACAAACATGTGATGCCAACTCTGAGGATTTCGTGGACTTGAAGTGTCAACTTCATTCTGCAGCACAGTGGATCTTGAACTTGATGACGAATTTGCCTAGGAAGGACAAGTCAGCCATTGTTCAAAGGAAAAGTGTTTATTCATCAATGTTTCTAGTCCGCAGTATTCTTGCAACGAGACTTATCCCATCGTATGTGTGCATGAAAACAGTTTGCTCGGAAGTCATAAGCATATTGTTTCCGAACTTCCTTGACCAGCCCTTGGAAGATTTACTGCAGTCAAAGCACCTGTTTCCATCAGATTCTTCAAAACACTCCATGCGCCTTTTTCTGGATTCTGCATTGTTACTGTGGCGCAGAGACGAGGAAGAACAGCATGAGTTTATCCGATTTGGAGGTGCCGACTCCAGCCCCCAGCATGGTTACAACTGGCTGTTGAGCAGCAATTTTTTCATTGATCGCAAGAACATTGTTCATGTATTTCGGTGCATTCAACGTATGGTAGAGGATTCTTGCGCTTGCATTTCTGATGGACTTGATCGTGAGCAATCTCAGCAAAGCAAGCAAGACCACCTTGACGTTCTCAGCATGGTTCGCAGAGAGCATGATTTGCCTGTGGCGCTTGGCCACCATGCAGAGTCAACAGCCCACAAGTGTGCCGCAATGCTTCACAAGTTTGCCATGCGGATTTCTATGAATGACCGGCGAGAGAAACTGCGCAGATTTACATTGTCATTTTTCAGCTTTTGCTCAGATATGGGTGTCGAAATTGGCATTGGTGAGTTCAAGGTTGCAGACGGTGACTTGGAGCCATTGCTGCCCAACTGGCTGATAGGAGGAGATATGGCTTCAGATTTGCCGAAAGATGCATTGAATTTTTCGGGAGAGCGCCTGTCTGCTGCTGCATCATTTGACTTGGAGCCTGACATTGCTCCAGCTTCCGCAGCTGTTGATGTGGAAGCCTTAGCTTCGGAGCATGTGGAAGATCGTGAGCCTGAGCCACAAGATAGAGATTTCCATTCATCCATCTTTTTACCGCAAGCAATGCGAATTCCTGGTAGCCTCCACATTATCAACAATTCTTTTGGAACAGGTGACTGAGAAGCTGTCTCACTGGCAAGATTTTCTTGCCCAACTGAAGATATTTGAGGCACTTTGGTGTTGCGGAAGGCTTCAGCGCTTTGTCAATTTTTGCCTAAGGCCTTCTGTACTCACGCACAAGTGTGATGAGATCTTGCGACGAAAACTTGGAAGTCTCTACACAAAGCGATGGGGAGAAGTTGTCTATTTCTGCATACGGTTGAAAGGCGTTCTTCCCATTCTTCGATCTACTTGGGATGAGCGGCGGTTTCTGTTTGGCATAGATGGTGCAGAGAGGAATGGCGATGAGGGTGATGAAACTCAAGAAAACTTGAACGGAAGATCAAATTTTGATCCAAGTCTTTTGACGCGGACATTGAAAGATTCATTTTTCTTTGCGTATTTGGATATGATTCTAGCCTTGGTCTCAATGACAGAAGATATCGCACATTGGGCAGAAGCCTGCAGTTGCCATGAAGATGTGATTTTGCAGCATGGATTTGCCGAAAACCAAGGACTCCAAGGACAATCCAGGAAGAAACACAGGATGACAATGAAGTCTGGTAGAGTACTTTCCAGTTTGTTTTCTGGCAAGGCTGATGTATGTCCTATGCGTGGAAAGCGATTGCCCGAGTTGGTTGCTTATGGAGCTGAGAAGATGTTGTTGGACTTGAGTTCATCTGCCATCGGATCCCTGTTTGTTTCGCACAGGCATCTTGTGAGCAGTGAGCAATGGAATCTCCTTACATCAGATTTCGAGGTTGGCAAAAGTGTAGCTGTTCTTGAATTTAGATTGAAATTTGACTGGGCCAAGCGTCTTCCGTATAAGTTGGCTCTGTTGGCCTTCAGAGACCAAGCGCTTGCCCGTCGCGAGCTTGGAAGGATTGCAGCAGAGTTTGATGAGCAACCAGAAGACTTGCAACAAAATCACCACCACATTACCCTGAAGATATTGAAACAAGGTTCTGTCTTGCGGCAGCAATTTGATGCGTGGCTTTCAGGAGTTTCCATCCAAGACCCTCAGGTTCGTGATCTTGAATTCCAAGCTGCCTGCTTTCGATTTGTTCAAATCACAGAGCGCTTGTACGAGGCATCGCACAGCATTTTGAAGCGAAGAACGCCGCCAAATGCAAGCGGTCCACTGATCTCTTTGCAGTGCCGTCTCTTGGATGTTGCAGCAGAAGTAAAGATATCTCCAGAAACCTTGGTGGCAATTGCTTCAAAATATGATATCACCAGAGAATGCAAGAAGTTGCCTTTTCATCTTGGATTGGAAAGGCATCCATGGGTTTGGGAACCTCTGGGAAAGCGATGGCGTTTGATCAAATGTTTGAACCAAGTGTTGTACCGAGCAGATCCCGTTTCGCAATTCCCAGACATATCTCATTTGGACGCGTCAAATCAAAAGCAGAAGAAGAAAGAGAAACAGAAAGAGCAGGCACAGGCAAAGCAATCAAATAGAAAGAAACTTCCATTGACATATGATTGTTTGCGGGCTTGTGCTTTACACTCTCATTTCCTTGCAGTAGCTGAATCTTCAAGTGAATTCATGTTTTCTCTTCCAGCCCAGTCTGAAGACACACAGCAGCAGAGATTGCCGTTTCAGCCTCTCAATCATGTGCTGACAATGACACGGCCCAAGGCCGATGAGTTCAGTTTGGTTCCAGATATCCAAACCGAAGAGGGCCAAAACTGTGAGGGGCTGTGGCACGTTGATGATGCCGTTTCAGCATCTGCACGAATCATTTTCCGTGTTGTGAATGCAAAGCCAAGGAATCGCAGGCTGCTGTCTTTGAATGTAGCTGCGGCAGGAGCCGGCGGTCATTTGCTATCAGATGATGTTGCTGTCTGCAAATTTTTCGAAGGCCCCAGAGGCTTCTTTCCAGGAGGGGTTGAGATTGAAAAAGATCAATTATGGATTGGCGCATCCTCTTGTTCAGGACAATCCCAAGTTGAATCTGTACAAGTTTTGCAACACCTGCCTCAGCACTTTACATTTGAGGAGATGTCCAACAACCTTTTCTTTCATGTTCCAAAGTCTGATGAAGCAACCAGTTTGATGTACAGCTTGCCAGCCCAATCTCCAGGGATAGATGATTCAGTAATTGCAGCTCGCGTCACAGACTTGGTTCAATCAGAGTCTTTGCCCGGAACAGATTCATTTCTTTACTTGGAAAATTCAAGGGAGGTTCAAAGTCTTGTGAACAAAGGTTTCATTACCTGCGAGGCCGAAACTGGCCGCTATCAGCTCACACAAAGTGGTGTTGCCAGCATGCTCATTTTTCGATTGTATGCTAGCCCTTCTGCAGTCAGCAAATTTCTGATTTCCGATTCCGAGCCCACCATTCATATATGATGATTCAGGAGCTGGAAAATCAAGGATGGGAGTGGGCTATTTTGCCATCGCCTAAGAAGCGGAAGCAGGAAC